TGGCTTTTATTTCACTGAGCTTGATTAGACATAGTTTACTTTTATTTTGCTTTCCTAAATGAAAATAAATTTCACAAGTACGCGTAATAACGTAACGACAAAATCTCCACAAAGCACAAGCATATTTAACAATAATTAAATTTAAATTTGACTAATAAGTAACAATAATGAAGAATTCATTTTCCGGTCAGTATTGTTTCACTGATTTCTTGCAATTTTCATATGTTCAAAATATATATCCTCGTTTTCCGACGGTGGCGTCAGGGAAAAGTCTGTATACAAATCCTAAAATAACTCCGCAAACATTGAGAATAGATCGACTGCGAACACTGTTGTTCCTTTTTTTTTCATTCAAGGATGTGAAATTTAACAGCAAAGATTAATATCGCGCGGTCCGTCTTGTCCCGCCTTTTTTCCCTTTTGAGCCAGTTAAAAAGAAATCTCGTGAAAATGTTATACCTTAAAACAATTACTAAAATTGTTAAATAATCATAACGTTAAAGACAACGATAGTCGGTGTACTCATATACAGGGTATTGATTTCAACTCATTTTAAGTTTTTATTTTTATTTTTGAATCTTTGTCTGCGTGAGCAAAGGAAATCAGCCAGCCAAATGCAACAAATTGGCCAAAATGAATCATTCTTGATATTTTCAAGTAAAATAAATAAACAATCTCGATGAACTAAATATCAAAACACAAAATACGATATTGAAAAAATTTAACGTTCTGATTATTTATTCAGAGAGTGTATAAATTAGTGATTACAAATTAATTATTTCATGTTTAACTATGATTATTTGAACATTACAGTCGATTTTAGCTTTATTTGTTGGTAAATCTTGCAAAAATATTGATAAATTTGCATCAGAAATTTTACTAATCTTATTTTTCATATATTGAATTTCATTGTTTGATTATTTGCATACTAAACTGGGTAAAAAAAAAAATGATAATCCTGGTTTAGTATAACAGGACAAAGTTGCTTTGTTGTTTTAAATTGTTTGAAGAGCATATAAATGCAAAAAAATATGTATGTATATATAAAATTGATTTTTTTCAGGTTATTTACAGTTTTTTTAATATTTTAATATCTCTCATACGTTTTGGCCTTGAGTGAGCTGTGAAAACGGATCAGATAATAATATCTTTGTTTTTCTTTAATGTTTCATGAAAACTGCAAATTCAGAGAATTATTTATTTGTTAGACAAATATAAATTAGACACAGAACCCTTTAAATGCTCAAAGAAAAATTGATACTGACCTGCAATGGTCAAAGAGGAACGATGGTCAGAAATTTAGTCATAACACTCATAAATGATCTTTTCTGTCTGTCTATCCTTGCTGGTTTCAGCCGTTCGGATGTGATTAAAGAAGAAATTGCATTGTAAACAATTTTGTTTTAAATTTATAGCTTGAATAAGCAAAAATTGGAAACTGCAGGAAAATAACTGCCATTCCAAGTTTTGATAACACAATCCTTCTTTCTGTTTTTCATAAGCTCAGTTTATTAGCTCAATTTAAATAGAAATATAGATAGATAATACATTATTTACAAAGAAATGAGATAATCTACTACAAATGAACAATTTAAAACATGTAGGATTAAAATCATTGCTGAAATTGTTGCAAAAGAAAAAAACAACTAAAAATTAGATTGCAAGGATATTGCAAAGCATAAAGTACACTTTTAAATTATATGGCATTGTCTTTGATTTCATAAACTGAAAAAGTGAGAATATGGAGAGCAAAAGAAAAGCAGACCGCAGGCAGGCATTACCAGTAACTCAAAGCATACTCAATCAAATTGTACAGATTATTATTGCTTGTATTTATAGAAATGAACCAAGGACTAAAATTCATGTAAGCCGTGGGCTATATGCCACTTTTCAAGCAGAGACTTTCGTTAACAGAAGAATAGCTATCTACACAGACAGCCAGGCACTGAGAGCAGACTCGGTAGTAAACTTCAGAGTGGTTTGGGATTGCGTTAGGTCCTGGCTAGACATCACAATAAAATTACCTTTGTCTTACCAGGGCACACAGGGCAGAGGGGCATCGGAAAACCAAGGAAAGTTCGATGAGGACACCTATTGGCCCTGGACTCTTCTGTGGCAAACAGCAAAAAACATGAACCATTAGAAAAAAAGGCATGCAAAAAATTTATCTCACTAAATCTACGACGTGATAGGACTAGAATGACAGTTGGAGTGTAGACTCTAGAGGCATATAGTCTTAGATAGCAGAAACAAGATGCAGATATTGCCAGGTAGAAGTTAGAACATGAGTCAATGGAGCATGTCCTCTGTTGGTGCAAAGGCCTAGTAGGCTGCGAATTATTTCTCGTGGAAGAGGAAAAACCTGGGCCTGAAGGATACACACGAGGGTCATTGAAAAAGCTTTTAGATTTTGTAAAAAGCCTTAAGCTTAATGAAGAGCCTTTAGACAACAATAGAGATGTCAATAGACATTGGTTGCAGTGCGCAGGTCGTAAAGCGGCTGACTTCTCTAATCCAATCCAATCTAATCTAATATGGATTATTTGAACCAACTAGATATTTAATTAGGAGATCCTTACTTAAAACTCCTTACTTTGGCTAATTATACTTTTTACTCAAAGCAAGTTATTGGGTGTTACAGAAGTCAAAAATTTTATTTTGAGAAAAGACCTGACTGTAATGGAAAGAGATATTTTAACTCTTCTACAAAATGAAATGAAAGAACCAATGCTGGAGAAAAAAATTAACCATTAAATATTTTAATGGACTTCGAAAATCATTAAAAATACAGTTTCAAAAAATGGACCGAGTGCCTGATTTCACCTTACTACCAGAATTTAGAGGATTGAGAACTAAACTGGATTGACTCAAGTTTGCCACTAATAATTATGCTGATGATGTTTTTGCTCTAACTGAAACGTGGCTGTCAGAAGATATTTTCATGATATATTGTTGTGATTGATCATTATTATGTTAATCTCATGACAAAAATGATACATCAAAAATGTTGTTTTCTTAGCCATGAGTACAAACATATAAAGTATCAAGTTCCTGTTACTGATAAATTTAATGAACATTTATTTGTTTTAAATTGAGTTCTTAAAAAATAATTTTAGTTTGTAGTTACATTTTAACCAAATTGAACAGATTTTTATGGATATTAATATTTTTAATTTTAATATTTGGAAATTATAATATTACTTTAATTGAGTGGAATGAATATGGATCAATTAGGAAAGAAAACTGTTGTTTTTACAACCAGCTCATTGAAATTAAAAATTTTTCTTAATCTTAAGCAATTAAATTTGATATATATTAACTTTGAAAATATTTTAGATTTGGTTTTAAGTATTATTAATTCATAATCTCTGTGGAAGTTGGAATTACGAGTATTTAGTACCAGTTGATCCACAGCATCCTGCCATGTCATATTTCACCAATACACCACATTCAAATAATATTAGACCCATTAATTTGTTAAATTTTAATGCCACAAATTTCTCAACATTTAATAAAAGCATACTCAGTACTTCAATTAGTCAATCGGAATGCGTTGTTTGAAGGCAAAAATGTTGATGATTATGTGTAAATATTTTATGATGCCTTATCTGAGGTAGATAGGTAGATAAATGAGTGCCAAAGATTGTCATTTCTAATAATATATATTCATTAAATCATTAAATCATCATGGTTAAATGCTAAGTTAAAATGGCTAAAGTTCTCCAGATTGCGAGTTGAGCGCAAAATACTAACAATGCCATTTTGAATATGTTAAATCTTTTGAAGATTCTACTTCTCATGATCCTAGCAAATTTTGATCTTACACAAAGAATCTGAAATCTTCCCCTGTCGTTCTTAGTAATGTTCGCTATTTAAATAAAACTAGTCCCTGTGAAAGTTCTGCAGTTGATGTATTTACTAATGTTTTTTTTCTTTTTGCAATGTTTATTTCATTTGTAATGGTTAGTGATGGATTGTAATGGCCTTATGTACTATGCATATATGCATATTAGCCAAGCCAGACAATATATTATGCATATGCATATGGGGGGGTTATCGTGAATAAAGGGCTAGAGGCGACAGAATTGAACCCACGACCACAGGGTCTACAAGCTGAGAGTCTAACATGCTAACCACTCAGCTACCATGGTCCTCCACTTTATGTTCATCTTAATCATGCTGAGATATTGGCTTTCCCTTTACATGATAAGCCTTAAGTTTTATTTTTGTAATATTTTGTTCTTTAAAATAATTGAAATATGTAACAAAATTCTCTATAAATTTATGATAAAGAGTTATTACGGTGTTAAAACACTTTTATATTTTTAATGTTAAAGTGATTAAACAAAGGAAGGATGAATCGACTGTCAGGATATGCAGTCATCAATGTCATGATGACCACATCTTTAATCTCTAACTTTCTAGTAAAATAATTTAAAAAACCTCAAGTGTGAAAGTTTTTCAAATATCTATAATTGAAATTTGAACAAAAGATTTGTTATAAACTTCTAAATTTCCAACAATTTGTCATTATTTCTTTTTTCTCTAATGTGATGATTGTCGTATGAATAGAAACCCTTAAAAAATGTATTGACCAATTGACAAAAGGTGTATAATTGATTGTGGATTTGATGTAGGTTTGTTGATTTATTCCTTTGAAAACCGTTCGACAGGTTCAATCGTCGATTGCTTTAATAAATCAATATTTAATCATCTTCCATTCTCTTCTGTAAGTCACACAATGATAAATTTCACCGAGACCTTTCCTTGGTGAACGAGGATTTTTTTTTTATCGAAAGCCACTTTGGCTTTGATACATTTCAAAAGTGTAAATAAGTGGTTTTGAAAATAGAACGATGCCCCTTTTCTAAAGGCTTCAGACAGGAAGTACAGACTGAATCGAAGTTTGAATTGCCAAAGGATGAATAGGAAAATCCTATTGTTGTTTCCAAATGTCCTTTACGTTAAACAATTTATATTCTGATTTTTTTCTTTTAAAGTGATGGCTATTTGAGTGTTGGGGAGTTTGATGCAATATGCAGGGCATTGTTCAGGAATGACAGGGGCAAAGTTTACAGCCTTCCTGAAGATCAGCTGCAAGAAATCTTTGAAATCTTCGACCTGGACAAGGTATAAAGGTAAACTCAGTTCAACGGGTGTTCTAAATTGTTTTTTATTTCCAGGACTCACAGATAAGCAGGGATGAGTTTACCTACTGCTGGAACAACTGGATCAAAACAGTATGACAAAAGTGAATATGTTTAAATAAAGGTTTTTTTTTTTTTTTTTTTTTAAATTTCAGATTGTAAGACCAGTGAGTGCTTTCCTGATCATTGATGTTCAAAACGACTTTATTACTGGATCATTAAGCATAAGCCAATGTTCAGCACAACAAAATGGTATTGAGGTAAAACCTAATTTTATTTCTTTCAAGATTTAGACTTTAGGACCAATTGTGAAAAGTGTACTGAATATTTTTTTATAGGTTGTAGAGCCGATAAATAATCTACTCGAAACTGTAAATTTTGATGCTGTCTTTTATTCGTTGGATTGGCATCCAAGTGATCACGTCTCATTCATAGACAATCTCCAATACAGAGCCGTACACCCTTCCAGTCCCGTGCGTGTAAATTTGTATCAATTCTTTAAATAGGAATTTTTTAATTTGTATTTTTTGTAAATTGTCTGTTGTAGATAAGCGCAGAAGAAGCACAAACATACGACACCGTCATGTTCGACGGCCCCAACCCTTTCAAGCAGAGGCTGTGGCCTAGGCACTGTGTACAGGATTCTTGGGGCGCCGAATTACACAAAGACCTTAAGGTATCTCCGCAATATCTGTATGCATGTTGTAAGTTAATTTATTAACCAGCTTTAAGAGCAAAAAAAAAAATGTTCTCGGAGATTTCTTCAGTAGTGCCATTAAGCATAACTGAATGAAAGAGAAGTTCTAGCATAAAATGGTGTTTGCAACGTACTCTGGAAAATTACTCAACGCCAATTTTGGTGCTTGGGGTTCAAATAAATAGCAGAAAGCAGGCACGGCCAAGAGCCAGTGTTAATTACATCTAGTCAGGCGACATTACAAGGAAACGAACTGATTTTTGCAGCCTGAAATAAGTTCTACCTTGCGTTTCTTAAAATATTCAACACCCATTTGTAATAAAGTGTATTCATTATGTAACATTATACCATTAAATGTATTAGTATAAATATATAAGTGCAGTTGAATCTTAAAAGAAATTAATGTTGGCAAATTTTGAAATTACGTTTTCTCTTTTATTCCATCTTTTTAAATATAAGTGGTCCTTGTAGAAATCATTTTAACAACATTTCTAATAATAATATTGAAAAAAGCACATAATCATAAATGTAATTTTTATTAGTATAATTAAACCACTTAGCACTGGACTGCTCTCAACTGATTCAAAACCTGCGCCAGTTCAACATTCAAAGACTTACAGATCAACATCCACTTTCCCATCTTCACTGTTCTTATAATATGTTGAATTTGTTGTGAACATATTTCAAATTGAAACAGGCTAAATAAAAAATATTAGTCAGTTTAGACATTCAGTAGATTCGTGTGTTGTAAAAGTGCTTTGTTCAGTAGTTGAATATTGATAAATATCTAGCTTGGTAGAAAAACTCTATTCAGCATGCTTTAAAGTAAGTTTGTCAGGTTGAACAATAAGGGTCAAAGTATTTACTGTTGAACTTTTAAAAAAGAACGAAATTGGTTTAATTACCGAGGTAAAAAAAAATCACCCATTTTAGCATTTAACTTCAAAAATAGGTTTTACTTAGTTCTAATTACAAAAAAAATCAAGAGGAAAAAAGTTTGATGGAAAGATTGGTATCAAACTTTTATAAGCGCGTCTATCCTCTAATTTTAGCGTTGCACCAATGCCAATTTTCCTTATTAGACAACTAACTTTTAAAACCCCATTGGATCAAAACGTTCGTGTAATTAACACATTAGATAATCAATTTGGTGAACATCGGTGGGAAGGGGGTGGAATGGGTGATATCTCCAATTGGCCCCGTGAACTTCACCCCTTAACCTTTCCCCTGGCCAGCCGAGAGTTCTCACCCCATTTAAAGTTTTCACAACCGACATAATTCGGGCGAATTAACACCTGGTATTTTGCAACTGACACTTTTGCCGCATAAATGGCTGCCTGTGTAATAACTTGTTCTCGTGGCTGGTAATGGGGGTAAAAAACTTTTTAAATGTTATTTTTACATACAATGCCTTTTCCCCCCCTCCTATTTTATTTTATGCGAGATTTTAACGAGGATCAGCAAATTGTAGTTGCTGTAAAGTGATCAACCAATTGTCTGATTGAAAAAAAAATATGCGTGTATATGTTAAAATATAATAATTTAATCTTTTCCCTAACAATTTAGCAACAAACTATATCTAAGGAATTTTTATAAATTTAAGTCTAAAGGTAGGCTTTCAAACTATATTGATCTATTTAAAGAATTATTAACATTTTACCTGTAAAGTAATTTAACTTAAAACTTTAAGGTTGTATTTGTTGTAATAAGTAGGAAATTTTTAATAATCATTTAACCATTTTTTTTTTAAATATGATAACCATTCTGTTTGTCTAAAGAAATTATTACTAATTAATTATATTTGTCTTATCTTTCTATCTTTTAAAGAGCTAATTGTTATTAAAAGTGAATTGTTTTGATATTTCTGCTTTGTTCAATAACTGTAAATTATTTTTAATTATGAAATTTAATCAGTTTCTTTAAAGATAATCTTCTATTTGAATAATAAAGAAATGATTACCTATTGATTATATTTGTCAAATCTGTCTATAATTTTTTCTGATATTGCTATACTATTTTTTAATATTTTTTATTTTGATTATATTTCTTTTTTCATCCTATTAAAATGTAAATAGTTATTTCAATTATCTCTTTTTTTATATAAGTAGTCCTTAATTTTTTCTTAAATATCATATTATAAATTATTTTATCTTCTTTATCTAAAACGTTTTTTAATATTTTTCTTCCTATTTAATCACTTTTTCTTTCTTGTAAATAGCAATTTAATTAGTTCTCTATTTTTTCCATCTTTGATCACATGTTACTGTACTTTTCTGTCATTCTTATTTAAGCCAATCAGTAGTTTTTAAGGCTGTCAACCTCCAAGGGTTATAACTGCCTTGAGACTTCATACTCTTTTCTTGTGTTGTCAGCTGTCCTGTACATCTTTCCTGTACATAATAGCATCTATAGACTTCAAAAATATGCTGGATTAACTGTTCATCTCATGTGAACAGATTTGGAGTGGTTCATGAGCCAAATTGTATGGCCATGCATCAGCCAACTATGTCCAATTCTTATTCTTACTACAGTTTTTCTAGTTTGCATTCGCAATTGAAGATTTCTACGCTCGAACTTTTAATTTGTTCTTATGCCTTGCATATTTTCTTCTACAGAAAAGTCAAACTTTGCAACCATAAGAGATACGATTATATTCCTTCTTGAGATGCTGCTCTGTTCATTTTCTCTGTGTCTGTGACCTTGTATTAAGGAACAGATCACTGTAGAAATGTGCAGACCTGTATTTTGAATGATATTTATCATATTTAGATTCCTCTTACAGACAGAATCAATTTTTGACTGTACCAAGCTTTGGTTCAGTTCTATTGGTCACCCATGAAAAAGACATCAAAATTTTGAGTAAATTATTGTTAATTATTTTTGTATTTTTTTCTAATATTATATTATTTAATTCTGGTAATATTTTGTTCTTTAAAATTGTATGTATTATTAAGTAGGGGACTGCGATGACAGAGTAGTGGTTCTGGGTTCAAATCCATAGCCCATGGAATTTTAATTCTGAATAATTTGCTTAATGTCCCACTACCCATTGGGTATCATGATGAGTACAATATTTTGTAAAGTGGTTTGACCGTTCATCGTGATACCCGGGTAGTTGGACGTTAAGCCCTCCTGTGTGAAAAAAATTACTTTCAGCCTTTCATTTACTTAATTTGTAGTATTGTTATTTCTCTTCTTTTCTTGTATTGCAAAATATATAATTTTTGAAATAGTAGACTATTGTTATACTTACATTTTTAATATTTATTTATTTGAATTTATCTGTAATTATATTACTTTTTTACTCAATTCTTTCTGGCATTACTTTATTTTTAAAGAAAAGAATTCTCTTTTTTCTTAAATAGCAAACAAAAGACTATATATATTTATCATCTTTGTTGTGTTTAATGACATGTTACTATCATTTATTTGTTTTTTTATACTGTTTGTATAATTATGCATGTTTCTATTAGATTATTATAGTGTTTTTAATTCTTAATCCTGTATTCGCTGTATTTTTTCTTCATTGACATTCCTGAAACATCCCTCATTCTTCAAATTTTTCGATATTTTTTACAATTCATTTTTTTTCAGATTGTAGAAAATGCAACAAAAGTTTACAAAGGTACAAATCCCGAGGTGGACTCGTATTCCGTTTTCTGGGACAACAAGAAACTAACCCAGACGACCCTTGTGTCTCAACTTGAGCAGAAAAACGCAACTGATATATACGTATGCGGCCTGGCGTATGATGTCTGTGTTGGTAAGTCGGTCAGTAATATTTCGATGAGTTTATATTAAATGATGTGGTTTTCAGGAGCGACGGCTGCGGATGCCCTTTCGATTGGTTACAGGACTATATTGATAGAAGACTGCTGTCGCGGTGTCGACCTTGCAGATATCGACAAGACGAGAAACACAGTTGTTAAAAACCATGGCGTCATAGTCACATCAAGCGAGGTGAGTTTGTTTGGATGTTCTCGTTCAGTCTGTATTTTTAATTTTTTAAATAAAATTATTTAAAGGTAAAAGCTATGGTCGAGGGAAGAGACCGCCGTCCAGAACTCGGTTACAAACTCGCTCTCGAGCTCAAGAAGAAGCAGGAAGACGAAAAGGATAAAGTCGACACTGAATGACACATTACATATCCAAAATCTGTAGTCATTCATTAATTCAATTTAGAATTTGTCACTGTCATCAGTGGCTTAAGCTTAACTCACAAACTAGCCTTCACAAATAAGCTTAAAAATATCAATTATCTGTGACTAAAACAATCCGTCCAAGTTGAGAATGAGTAGTAATATTTTGAATTAGAACTTGTATTCTTCTAAATTGAATTTATGTTTGTAAAAATATTTAAAAGAGAGAAAACCTATCAGAATTATAGATTAAATAATTAAAAATGAAAAATCATTACTTTCCTCTTTCTGGTTTCTTTTTCAGGTAAAAACTTCAAAATTTAAATCTTTTTGTAGCTTGATGAATATGCCACTCAGGACTGTTGTGGAAGCTTAAGCATCCTACCAGCTACTTATTACCTCATCCTAAGATCCTTTATTTCATTCTTGCAGATATTCCACAGGACAACTTCCTCATTCCCTGCTTTAAACCTCTAACCTACCCATACAATCTCCTATCACCCTTACCTTGCCAATAATGCTGCAATTATTTCCACTGATAAAGCTCCCCTCACAGCTTCTCGTTATTCCTAAAATCAACGAAAACAAATAGTAGTCAATCTAAATAAGAAAACGTTACCACCAGCGTACTTCAACAATGTTCCCATCGCTGTTGCAAAACTACCTTGAACTCTACCTGGACAAATGACTGACATACCACTATAAATGACTTAAACGCATTGTAACATATTGTTTATAATGTTAAAACAACAGCTCGACATATGATCTAAGCTCACATAAACAAAAAGAAAACTTTACATTGTAAGGTTTTCAGGCATATGGACTTGAACTTTACAGGACTCCTACGGTTCCAACTTTAATCAAATTCAATCCCTTCAAACTAAAATCTTATGGATTCCAATGTTTAATAAATATTTTGATACATATAGATTTAAACATTAGTATAAAATATAATAGAAGCCATTATATTAATAAATACCAGTTTTCGACTCATGTTCACAGACGGGTCTAAGATGAGGGTGTGGCGTGCACTGTGTATTGTGAGGGGTCACTTCATGGTCATGGCCGCATTGTAATATAACCAAATTCTATGCAGTTACTGCTGTCCGTGACAGGTTCTTTGTTGGTCCTCTCATTGTGCTTTTGATGGATAGATATCACGAGCAGGAGTGTCTCGGCCAATATGGTGGTTGTCTGTGCACCTGGTCACATAGGTTTAACCAGTGTGATCCGGCCACCTGCTAAAGCACAATAAAAAAAACATCATTAAAAGAAAAATTAAATCAGCAGAGAAGCTCTAGATAGGTACCTTGAGTGCCTGGATCGTAGAAGAAGGGTCATCCTCACATAATTAACGATAGGTGTTAGGTTAACACTTAGACACTTAATTTTGGGCCAAAGCCCACATATGTGTCGGGCATGCAGAGAAATGTTTCTTAATGTCTCACCTAATAGAAGAGTGGAATTCAGGGTGGTTTTATTATACATATTAATGATAATTTGGTGCCCCTAGTGTGGAATATTGAGTACCTCATGTACCATCAATTAGGTTAGTTACATATGTGAAGGGTGATGGAGGAATATAAAGTATGGTATGTAAAAAGAAAATAATGTATTTAAGGGTGAACAAGAGTGGAATGGATTTAGAGAAGATTGTGTTGGGGATGAAATGACCTAGCTGTTGACAGCCTCAGGAGCCCAATCTCGGCAGCTGAACAGATAAGACCAAGGTCTCACCCTGGACTGCCAACACCCGTGGTGGGGGATTCTCGACCAGTAATCTATTGTAAATTACAAATGCCGGAATTGGACAATGAGAAGTAGAAATCATAGGTCCAACTCTGTACATGTGTGTGCCTTATTTGAGGTTATTTAAATCAGTAATAAATGCATCATTTTTTTCCAGCAAGTTGTCAACCATGGAAATCATAAATGAAAATAATTTTGAGGTTAATATGTTACAATGCGTTTAAGTCATTTATAGTGGTATGTCAGTCATTTGTCCAGGTAGAGTTCAAGGTAGTTTTGCAACAGCGATGGGAACATTGTTGAAGTACGCTGGTGGTAACATTTTCTTATTTAGATTGACTACTATTTGTTTTCGTTGATTTTAGGAATAACGAGAAGCTGTGAGGGGAGCTTTATCAGTGGAAATAATTGCAGCATTATTGGCAAGGTAAGGGTGATAGGAGATTGTATGGGTAGGTTAGAGGTTTAAAGCAGGGAATGAGGAAGTTGTCCTGTGGAACATCTGCAAGAATGAAATAAAGGATCTTAGGATGAGGTAATAAGTAGCTGGTAGGATCATTCCGTGTAGAGGGGAAGAGAGCATGTAGTTAGAGCTTTGGAATTCAATATAAAATAATTTATAGGTTTTAAGAGAGTACGAAGGGACATGTAGCTGTAGTTGAGAGAGGAGATAAGGACTATCAACGAGATTGTTCCCTTCTTCGTGCCAGTTCGAAAAGTTTAAATTCAGAACGGATTTCAGGGTGACAGAATTCAGAGGAAGATTGAGTTTGTAGGAAAGTTTTTTTAAAAATTTGTTTTGTACACTAACTACTTATTAGTTTTGATATAAGTATCTATAATGTTTTTCCTTTGAGGAAGTAAGTCATTGCTGGTAAGATGTGGTAGTCTGAAGAAGCGAGGTCTAGACTAAAAAGTTAGTGTGATATCCATTTCGGAGAGTTATTGCTTCATATTTTCATCAGGTATTTTCCCCAATGCTTGGAAAAGCACTTTTGTCATTCCTCTACATAAAGCTGGGCGTAGATCTAATGTTTTCAATTACAGACCAATATCTATTCAATCCATGTTCTCCAAGATATTTGATTCTATTATTTGTAATAAATTTAAAATTGACATTAAATCTTTTATTATACCTCAGGAACATGGTTTCTGCTCTAATAGATCAACTGTTACAACCTGCTCACATGTCAAAATTACATCTTAGATGCAATAAACTCTGGACACCAAGTAGACTCAGGGTATACTGATTTTTCTAAAGCTTTCGATAAAGTAAATCACACAATACTGTTAAGGAAACTAATGGATTATGGTTTCACCGGAACTATCTTGAATTGGTTATTCAGCTTTCTCTCCGACAGAAAACAAATAGTCAAAATAAAATCATTTAAATCATGTCCCTTTGCGGCTTCCTCGGGAGTCCCGCAAGGGTCTCATCTTGGACCAGTTTTGTTTCTCTTATTTATTAATGATATCCATCTTGCTCTTCCTTCTGCTCAATTTTTATTATTTGCTGATGATCTGAAAATCTATTCCATAATCACTTCTCCTTCCGATTGCTTACAATTACAAAATTCTATCAATAATGTGCTAACCTGGTGCTCTAATAACAAACTTGCTCTTAATGTTTCCAAATGCTACACAATTACATTCTCTCATAAGAAACAACCTTTTATTTATCTCTATACTCTCCATGATGCTCTTTTAACGCGAGTTGAGGTCGTAAAGGATCTTGGTGTACTTTTTGATCAAAAGCTCAAGTTTAAAGAACATATTTCTTCAATAAAAAATAGATCTATGAAGATGCTAGGTTTCATCATCCGGAACACCTATGAATTTAAAAATCCTCTATGTTTTGTCCATCTTTATAAAGCTTTTGTACAACCCATACTAGAATATGCTACACCTGTTTGGAACCCATTCTATCTAAATTATCAAAAAATTCTTCAATCTGTACAAAACAAATTTTTAAAAAAACTTTCCTACAAACTCAATCTTCCTCCGAATTCTGCCTACCCTGGAATCCGCTCTGAATTTAAACTTTTCGAACTGGCACTAAGAAGGGATTACTTTGATATTGTTTTTGTATTTAAATTATTAAACAATCTCATTGATAGTCCTTATCTCCTCTCTCAACTACAGCTACATGTCCCTTCGTACTCTCTTAAAACCTATAAATTATTTTATATTGAATTCCAAAGCTCTAACTACATGCTCTCTTCCCCTCTACACGGAATGATGATCAAGAGTAACAACATCTGCAATAGCTTACATTAATTAAAATTTTTAGTTGAGATGAAAAAAGGTTAACGGCACGAGAGGGATTCGAACCCACGACCTTCGGCTAGATATGCCGCTGTTCTACCACCTGAGCTATTGTGACCTCGATCCACTCGGACATTAACTCCCCATCTTAACCCCGCCTTATGAGTTTTCCCTCCTTTTGCCATTTTTCAGGAGGAAAAGCAGCGGTAGAGCAGCAGTAAAGTATTAATTGGTCAAGTGGACCACGAAATTAGTGAATTTAATGAATCTGCAATAGCATTGACTTCTTCAATAGTTCTGTGCAATCTATGAAAAACCTTATCCTACAGCCTTAGTTGAATGCTTTTATATTTCATATGTACAAAATTATTACAATTTATTTCATTTACTGGTTCAACTAATTCTCGCACTCTAGTCTTATTATATATTTACAAAGAGCATTATTTTCATTAAATATGTACCTAATTATTGTACTTTCAATTGTCTTTCAGCTTTATTTTGTTTTCTCTGCCTTATTTGGTTAGTAATTGTCTTTCATTTTTGTTGTTCAGTTTTTACTCTTTAATTGTATTTTTATATTTATCATTTATATTTACCATTTATATTATTACCATGTATATATGTCCTTTTTCTTTTTATATATATTATTTGTATTTTTACATATATTTTTTATTGTAAAATGTCTTTTTTATAGTGGATTTCGATCCGTAAATAAATAAATAAATATGCTTGGAAGTTCGGTTCTTCCTATTGCTTAATCATGTTTAAATGTAAAAATAACCACTGAATATGGGGAAAGAGCAAAACATGTCTGACAAATAGGATTATTCATATTAGACAAATTAAAATGATATATTAATGGAATTTTTACAAGAGCATGTCCAACTACCTGTAGGGTGACGCAGATGGGTCAAACCATTTAAAATGCCTTTGACATATTATTACAGGTTAAAATTCCAAGGACAGTGGCAGAATTCAATCCCAGAACCAGTGAGAAATAAGAGTCAGACGGCCTAACCACTCAGCCACTGTGGCACATAAACCCTATATCATCCAAAATATATTTATTAGGACGAATCACAAAGTCAACCTGGTGTAGACAAAATACAAATTTGATTTTCTCTATTTTCTCAGTGTGTGAAATTGGGTATTGTTACAAGACTTTTCCTATTTACCAAAACCCAGTTACCTGCCTAAAGTTATATTACAGCTGTTCTGCACATAACTCTTATTTGACATAAAACTCTTTGGGAACAGACTCACAGTCGCAGCACCTACAAAATTATCAATAATTGAAAGCCTAATTCTTTTACCAATTTAGGATATTATAGTTATTCGAAATTGTATTACTTATTTAATTTGGTTATCTCTGATCGTCCTGGTATTCTATTCCCACTGGTTTGGTCTGTCAGCACACAGACCTTAACAAACATAGCACAGCATGAAAATATTAATAAATTGAATTTTTAAAGAAGCCATCATCATGTTTCAAGCAATATATCCATATTTATAAAAATTGTGTCAGGTTAAGTGAATATAGCCTTGTAAATTATAGTAAGCTGTCAGTTGCTATATTTCGTTATATTAAGAATAAAAATTAATTAATAGTTAATTAATATTTTAACAAAGAAACAAAAGTTTATTTCAGTCATTCTTAAATGGTGATTGCTCCATGTAAATGGTACTTCTATGTGAATTTCTTTGCGACATAGATCCTAAGACAGAATGGATATTTAAAATATAAAATCACTTGTATTATTAATAGATTGTTGCCTTTTAAGCTTGGAGAAAGCTTTGATATTCTAGAAGGTCTTTTCATCTCGTCGATCCTTTTGGGCAATCTTAATGAAAACAAGATGGAGTGCCATTCATAAATGTCGAGCAGGTCCTTCCTTATATTTGACTCTTCCGATTGGTATATCCAAAACTCAGGCTGCAAGACGGTGTCGGGTGAAAACCATACCTGGTTACAATTGAAAAAATCAGGTTTGAAAAACCTATTATTTGATGGTGATTTATTGTGTAGAATACCTCTCTTGAATGTATTATCCATTGCTGTTCCAGAAAATTATTTTGGAGAATTGCATATCTAAAGGCTTTGTCCAATAGACCCTGGACTGCCACTTTGGATGATTTAACTGAAGTTGATGTTATAATTGTGAAATAGGCTTTTAAGTGGTAATACCTATATACAAAATAAATTTATCTTTATGTACATAAAAAAGATCTGTTATTTTACATGCCTTGGGAGCAATACAGGTATGCACTTTTTACATTTTTTATAAATGTATTTGAAAAGCTCTTTCAGATGGTCTATGATCCTTTTCATTCTTGGTGAAATATAATCAGAAAGGTCCATTTTGTACACAAGCCAGAGTAGCTGGCATTGTATAAGTTTTAAAGTTGTTAATAAGTTTTCATGAGACAGATCTACCAGGAAATCTTCGACGATCCAAGCCATAGCTTGATCGTACTCTTTCCTGAAATGAATAGGTGAAATTGTAAAAGTCCGGACAGTTTACGCATACGATAGGCGTACCTTCTCAGATGCCATAGCCATATGGATATCGAATATATACGGGACAGCTCGTGGTCTATTGTGATGTGCTTACGGTTTATGGACTTTTTAATTAGAAAGAGGGATATGGCAGGAGGAGCAAATGAAACGCCAGATTCCATGAAGGTCAAAATGATCAACTTGTTGTACATCTTCATCTTCGAAACATACCTGTACGAATGGGGCTCTTCATCGGTGTACACTTTTGGGGACAGTATGCTTGCTAGCTTTTTGAAATTTTTTGTCATGATCTGGAATATTTTTATAGTTCAAAGAAATATCCAACTAAAGAGAAAAATTTAATTAACAATGTTTTCTCATTTTACAAAATGGATTTTTCAGAGGTAATTAGGATGACACATTTTTTTAATAATTTAAATATAACTTTACTTTTATAAATATATTACACATAGTTTTGAAAATATATTAATATTAAAAAAATGAAACTTTTATGTATTCAGTTAACCTCCAGTACATTAACCTAACTTTTTTGTCTACCATACAAGATATTTAAAATATTTAATACTTACCAAGCAGTATGTCAGTTTGTCAAGAATAAACAATTCAGCATCAATTGCATTTACACATTGGCTTATTTTAAGTGCTAACAGCCCCGGTGCTATAGCTTGCATTAGGTCGCCATGGCTAAATCTGACAAGCGGAAAGTCTTACTTAAAAAAAATTATCCGAGCTTTACAAGGTTTTTTTTACCTAATTTTAAAAACCGCTGTGTAAATCTGTCCCATGCATATCAATTCAGTCAGGTGAGCCCCTTTGTAAATATTCAGGCAAGATTTGAGCGTCGGTTTGATCAATTTAATTGCCTTATCAAAATTGCCCTTTAAAATGAGAAGGTCAAAATAATTTGACATAGTTGAAGTTTTTAGACGTATGCTTTCGGCGACTTTTGAGTACGTTTTAGCCGTATGGCCGAGGCTTATTGCACGACTAAGTTCATTTTTAAGCTGAAATTTTTTTTACAAATTAGTAAAAAGTAAATTCGTGACATACAGGAGGGCTTAACGTCAAACTACTTTACAACACTTTTTATAATATTGTTCTCAATTTGAAACCCAAGAGCTATGCTAGGATTCAAACCCAGAACCACTACTGTAGCTTATTTCAGACGTCCTAACCTCTCAACCACTGCAGTCCCCCAATTTTAATATTAAATCTTGCAAAAAATTTATAATAAAATAAATACCAAGCTTGTTTTAGACATTGCAAGGTACACTTCGGCCATCAGGTCCATGTATCTTTTTAGTTTCTGCCTGTATGTCAATGTAATTTCTGGCCAGTTGATAACAAGCAGTTTGAATAAAAATACTGGCAATATGAACGCTTTTGGCTTCACTACACTTAAATGTAGGATTGCATGGTTCAGTCTTCCAAGATTTAAATAAGCCAATCCTAAGAAAATATTATTAAGGCTGGATATTTTTAAAACTAAAAAAAAATTTGCAAACCTAATAGAGTGCAGATTTGTTTCTTGCTATACTCCATGTACTCTTTAGGAATCCCTTTCTTTTTTTTCTCAGCGGCTGCTTTATCACGTACGATGTTAATCTCTTGGGTTAAAATCTGCGAGCATAAGTCGTGAGCCTGCTCGGCATCCTTAAGCAGTTGTACAGCTTTGTCGTATTTGCTGTACTTGATTGAAATTACAGCGAAAGCGATTAAGTATTTCAGCTCTAATACGCTCAGTTCTAAAAAAGGAAAACAGAATTTATTTAGACTTAGTTATATGAAAATTTGTCCAAGTGCACTTACCGGCCATGTGAGCATGATGTACTAGTTGCTCGAAGCCCTCAGAAAACATGGCGAAGCACGTACATTTCATAATATGTGGGAATTTTATTGCATAGAGCTTTTGATCCTTTTTCTTATACCTTGTCATAAAAACCTTCTTAAGGGCTTCAGCTAAAAGAATATATATTTTAGGTTAAAAATTTAAGTCAGTGCTTTCAAAAACGTTTACAAAAATTTAAGATTTATTATAGAATACTATTTCCAAGTTAAATGTGATTCTCAAAATACCAAAATTGTTAATAATTGATAGATGTTTTATTTTATTTTTTGAAATCACCTACTTTTGTTACATAACTAACCTAAGCAAGAGCCAAACAGGTCAATATTTAACAGACTTTCTCATGCCATGCAATCATGCTAATAAATAAACTCATACAAACATTTAATACAATATAATGACAAAATAAGAAATAATAAACAGTGGAGGATTTCAATTTATAACATAAAAGGATAAACAATCTACTGAAATGAAGAATTAATCAGATGAAATGCTTCAAAGGAGGAAACTCAACAGTATGGAGCCAGTTTATAAGTTTAGCCTTTTTAAAATGTTTAAACATTTTTATTTTTAATTGTTCTAAAGAATTCAAATTAGTTTCTTTAAAAATTAGACCAAAAAGTTTAACCATTTGTTAAAAATTATGGTTTTCTATTTAGTACAAACCAATGATCAAGCCTAAATTTCTTTCAATATGTAGCGCGTCCTTGTCTTGCTTGTGACCATATGGATCCGTTTCACTCAAGTTCCTGGCCATGTCTGAATCGAACAACTCGTCTTTTTGTACCCATTCCATATTTTCCTTGCATGATTCGCACTTTTCGCTCCTCGTCTTTATGCTCTTGAGGGCCCTTGTGTGAAATTCGATCTTCTGGTTCATAGGAATCGTCGCGTATATTGTGCTGCAGAACACTCTAAATTTGAAGCCGATGCGTTTACAGTAGGCAAACGCGGGAAGATCGTGAAGGTCTAAGGACATAAAAACGTTACATAAAAATTCAAACAGTTAAATATTGAATTTTTAACTTACCTAAATTTTGAATGTTGCATCTACAAAGTACTTCTTCTTTCCTTCCTTCAAAGGAACCGTTGCTTTGGTAACGGGATTCATAAATGGACATTTCTGTCTCTTCTGAAGAACAGCCCAGGACATGAAGCTGATAAAGTCGTTTAATTGCTGAAAAAATTTAATGTAGAAGACTGTCTTTATTATTGTCATATGGGATTACCAGAAGCGATATGCTGCTCTGGAGGATGACCCATGACGGATATCAAGTCATTTCTTGAAAAATTGTTTCCAAGAATGGAAGCGCATTTCAAGAGGAGTTGTTCAAAAGAAGAAAGCCGATCAAACATGCTCATTATTACGTCTAGAAAAATAAATTTCTCAGAGAACTGCATAAATAAAATTCTCTGTTTTTAAATATCTTTATGGTTGTCCTAAAAATCTTGAATTTTAATTCATTGTACCATTTTAAAATTTGTGAAAATCAAAATCATTTACTGTTATTATTTTAACATTTTTAACTTAGGTTTTTAACTTAAAATTGCATTCACCATCAAAGGTAGCAGGTAGTGCATTTTCATCCAGAACTTTTACTATTTTACACACAGGTACTAAGACTTCCTCACTTTGGTCCTATAAATTAATTTAAATAGAGGCTGGTTTGTTTCAAAAATTGAGAAGAAGCTACCTTCAAAGTGACTTCTCTAGTAATATACTTTTTCTCGGGAATTATATACACAGCATTGCTCAAATAGCTAAGATCGGATAGTCTAATTACAATGATGCCGACCTCGATGTACGATAGTAAAAACGTTTGCACCCAGCCTGGATTCCCTTTTGAGAGTTTTATGAGAACTCTGACAAACAAAAATTGGTAAAAATTTGCTCAAATGGTATCAAATAATTATACATACTTGATCAGTTTCCTCGGAACGGCTTCTACGTTCATCATCTGGCATACCAAAGCTGGTATATGTGATATATTGAGATTGTCCAGGTAGAACATGATCACCTTTTCATTCAAAAGTGCTGTCTGGACTGACTTGTTCTTGTGGTCCCATGCGCTCGGTATCGACATTACTATCACATATTTTGGGTTGTTAATAACATCAATAAATGTTACCCAAGAATCTTTATCAAGGCCATGAGCATCATCGACTATTATTACTGTATTCACAGCAGTCTAACATATTAAAAAACATATTCAGCTAACTTATTAATTTTATTTTTAATTTGAATAAGTTTTAAGTTCTAACACAGAACTCACAAGTTTTATCGTTCTTCTGAATAAGAATAAAGGTGTGACATGTTGTGGAGTTTTAACGACAGCAGGAAATGCAAAATTGACATCAAATATGTCATTAAGGACATATAGATATTCAAAATTTTCATCTTGCATGTATATTTTAATAAGAGAAGCCATCCTTTCTTTTACTGTCCTGCCCAACATCTGAATTACATATATTTTTTAATTAAAATTAATATTAATGTGCATGAAGCTAGTAGAAGAGTATATACATTTGCGAATAATTTATGTAAAAGGCATATGCCATATCTAAGCGTGGAGTGGACTGAGACCCAAATGGACCGCCAGCCCATTTCGTCTGCTATTTCTACAAACTCGCTCAAAACGCGAGTCTTCCCGCACCTCGGGTCTCCCATTACGATTATGCCTTTGTACGATGATTTTCTCCTGAGTATGTCTTTGAATTTTTTCAAAATGTCACTCCTGCCGAGCAACGGTGGGATTTTACTAGCATCAAGTCTACGAAGAAAATTGAAAAGTCAACAAAATCAATTTTTTTTTTAAATTTTAATTTTTAAATTAAACATACCCAACTTCTTCGTATTTGAAAATGTTTGTCACTTGGCCGATCCCTTTCAAAAATTTTGGCGGAAGCCTTGAGAAATAGGCAAGTGGAAGCCTCGAATTCAAAACAACTGAATGGTCACAAGAAATGACCTCGCGAAACACACACATAAGCCTAGCAGCTTTATTCACAGCTCCTCCGATGACAGTGTATTCTTTTCTAAATGGATGGCCAACCACACCACAATAAGTCGTCCCTAAAATATAATAAATAAATATTTGATATCTAAAGTTTCAAAATAAATTTATACCAATTGTCACTCCGATAGATAGATTTACAATCAGCTCCTCTTGGTTCAATGTAGTCAAGATTTGATATGCGCATCTTAGACATCTTAAAGCCTCGTCTTTCTCCTTGAAGCCTTTCATGCCAAAAATCACCAAAAACATGATATCCTTGTCAAACAAGCAGACTTTATTCACGAGACCGAGTTTGCTCTTAACGATCCTTAAAATGTATTAATTAAAAATTAAATATAAGGCTTGGTCAATGTTGAAAACCATACTTTGATATTGTACAATAAGCCAAATCAGTCATTTTAACGACAAGAGATTCAAGGAAAGTGTTGACCTTAAATGTAATAAACATAATTGTGACCTGCCGCATTTCTGTTAGGTACTCAAATGAAGAATTGGCATCAATCTAGTCCATAAAATAAAATTAGTAATGTCTGAATAATAAGATTAAAATCAATATTACTTGTTGCATGACTGGCGCAATAACAAATGGTCTTAAAGATTCGCTTATATTTCTCATAGATGGTTCAAAAAGATTCTCCCTAACTGCAATTTTAAAAAAAAATTGTTAACTATAAAAAAAGATTAAATTATTTTCTAATAGTTAAGACTTACTGTTCTCTTCAAAGCTCATTTTGCTCGAACATAAATCCGTCTTTTCCGTTAGTATTCGTAAAGTCTCATTTTTTATATTGATTTCTTAAAATAAAAAATAAATAAAAAGAAGAAATTTAATTGTTGAAAATTGAGAATTTAGATTTCTGTGTAGAAAATAATTTACCAACAAGTTGTCTTGAATCAAAGTCAAAAACCTTTCTTGCCAATACTCTTGGATCGTACAAAATTCTTTTCACCTACAAACAACAGCAAAAGTGTAAATGTAATAATTTACAACAACACGTTTAATCGTGAATTTAATTGAAAGTTCAATTCAATAATTGCCTTTTTATAGCCTTCAGGTAAATGTTCACAAGCATAATCCCGCTTGCTCACAAATTTCCAAGCCGAAGGTGCAACAATAGTGTCACCAGAGTCAGCTATGCTTTCTGCCTTTTTCGCCTCAAGGACAGGAAATCCAAAAATAATATAACTGCTGTTTATCTCATCACCTACTGTGCTGAACACAAAATTCCCAGCCGACACTGCAATCTTGACTGGAAGTTTTTTTTTGCATTAAATGCAATTGAAAGGCATAAAATTGTCAATGTTACCTTTTAGCATAACTCCAACGTCAGTTAGATAAGTGCCAAGGGAATATTGAATGTGCATGGCACATGATATTGCTTCATGGACCTTGTATGAAATAAACTGATTCAAATTAACATGCCACGATGCCAAGAATGCATCTCCTGTAATATAAATCAATTTAACTTGCGAACAATAGTAAATTTTTAGTGAAATACCTGCGAATTTAAGCAGATCACCTCCAAACGAATAAATCAGGTCGACCATAGCACCGATGTAACTGTTTAGCATGGCTGTCAATCTAAATGCTCCCTCAGGGCCGTACTTGGCATAAGTTTCGCATAAAGTTGTGAATCCTGTCATGCATAAAATAAAAAATTAAACATAAAAAACAAAAAAAAAAGTTTTATATGTACCAGATATGTCCGCAAACATGAGTGCTCCAATGAATGTCGTATACTTTCTTTTTCTATCAATTAGATTAATTAACTCATTTGGTAAAAATGTGCCAACTGCGCCAATCTGCTTGACCGACAAATAACTGCGTCCAATCATCTATCATAAAAAACAGTAACTCTTTAAAAAAAAAAGTCTAGTTTGAATGAATGAATAAATCTTCTTTATTCTTCAAAACAAAAAAACATCTTATTTAGTTAGACATATTACAGTTGGTTTTTTGACAATGGCATAAGCCATCTATCCAAATGGTCTGATTTATAAAAATGTATAACCCCTGGTCACTTACTATATTGGCCAAAAAAATTACAAAAACAAATAAAATTTTTAAAAAAAGCTTTTAGATATTGGTGAAATAAAACTGAACTTAAGAGCTATGAGAGTCATAAAATGGCTAAAAAATTTCTGAAAAATAAAAGAAAAATTCAATTTGGAGAATATCACAACATCACACTGCCGAAGGTGGACCCAAAACGCCTCTTTAAGCAAATAGTTGATGCAAGAATAGAACACATGGTACACACAGAGAACTGCAGGTTTGCCATATAAATCCATATTCCCAGAAATAGGATCAAACCACGATTCTCTGGAATTAGTGGCATAAAAGAATTTTTTGCTTTGATATCCCCGATTCGTTCAAACCACTGCATTTGATGTGCACTCATACATAAAATTAGCCATCAGCTACTACAAACTACAAGACGTGCGATGATCCAGAAAACATAACGCATATCATTTTGTCTGCCCAGAATACAAAGAGGCAATATAAAATTTTTTTGACAAGCTGTGTACACTGAAAACTTTTGAGCGAATATTTTGCTGGGAATGCTAGCTTTCAATTGGAAATGTGGACATCTATAAAGTGATATATTTATTTTTAAAAGATGTGACATTCTACTGTGATAAAGACATTAGTTTTGTTGTATGAGTTTGTTATTGTAATTATTTACTTAATGTATAAAATTATTTATTTCATGTTCTGGGTTCCTTGTTTTAATTAATTAATTAAATTATTTAGTATAGGATGTGTACTATGAATTTATTATCTAATGTATATATAAGTGTAATAATACAAAAAATTTCAAGCCTCGCTGTAAACTGGGTAGTTTTTAATGTATAAAAGGCACAAATTTATAAAATATTTACATCAACGGATTTGTAAAGTTACTCTGATGTGATAATTCATGAGGGGATAGAAAGAATGGAACCAGTTGGCAGACTCACAAAAGGTGATGCAGCACTCACTTGCGATTCTTTTTTCAGGCACACGGGATTTCTTAGGAACTGCTAGACTATAGTTCCCAACTGAAAATTGTGTACAGTGTGCTTAATTTGGTTCAATGGGTTTCTTTGGCAAGTTGGGTGGTTCATTTCTTTCATGCATCTAAGTCACTGTGCCAGGTTGAATACACCACTGATGATGCTGAACAAATGAGTTTACAGCACACATCTTATTCCAATCTTGTTTTAGCTAATAGTGCTAGAAAACAAAAGTAGCTAACTTAGCTAAAATATTAAATGCCAAGATTTTGTTTTTAAGAATGCAACTAATCCAAGCTTTTTTAAAGATACTTATTATATCAAAGCATGAATTTTTCAGCTAATACTGATAATTGCTTTTTACATAAAATAGTCTACTGAAAGTTGTTTTGAGCTAAAATAGCTTACTTCTAGCCCTTTATAGCTAATATAAAAAAAGCACCGAGCTCGTTGGAGATTACAGCTAACTGCCAACTCCTTTAAACTAATATTTCTAGTTTAAACTAATATAAAATTCTTTTTAGCTAAGACAACTAATATCAAGCTTTTTTTAAATATTACTGCTAGTCCAAAAACTTTTTTAGTAATTTTTAAGAAACACCCATTGTTTTCACTCTAATATAGCTAAAGCCAATCACATTTTAGCTAATACCCCTAACTCCAAAATCTTTTCACCAGAATATTTAGCCGAGATGCAGTGCCACCATTTTGGAAAGAGAATTACTAATGTACTAATGTACTTACTCCAGGTAAGTACTAAAAATCTTAATGTAAAATTCACTTTTTTTCATTATATACAAACATCAGGACCAATAAGCAAAAATAGGCATAAAAATAAAAACAAAACAATTTTTTTGTCCATGAAACAATTGTTCAAGTTTAATAATGAGTATTTGGAGATCATGAGGTGTGACGTAGATTTTAGAAAAAAAAATTTTTATCGTGCCAACGTTTCGATCTTTATTGAGATCATCTTCAGGGCTCAAAGTGTACTTTAATAATGAGTTAAAATTATTTTATTAGCCGGGAAATATGAGAAAGTTTTGTTCATAATTAAAAAAAGATTTGTAAACCAGATTTGGAGTTTTTTAAACATATGTCACACAGTTTAGTAAAATTAAACAATTTAATCACTCATATTCATTTGTTTTTGTGTTTTCTACAGTTATTTTTGACACGGAGGTTTAAAAGAAAATAAGTGTACAAAAAAGATGCGGGCCGTTCTTTTAAAACTGAAATGTAGCTCTCGCCCAATTAAATACAAGAAAATAAGGTAAATTAAACATAGAGTATTTTAAAATCCATTCAATAAACCATACATTGTCCCAGGTGTCATCGACTGCAATCGACTGGGAGAATATGTGGGCCGTCCAGTTGAGAAGGTCCAGGTCATCCGCTTCGCCCTCTTCGCCCGTTTTTAATATGGAGTCTTTAGTGAGGCAGTTACGCCTCCACAGCACCGCCTGGAAAGAGCTGCGCACTCCGAACGGGATGTATGTCATGTTCGGGAACATTTTTGGATTCCTGGTCTATCTCTGGTCAATTTGATCGGGAAATGACTGAATGGCAAATTAACAAGTGTCAACAAATAATACACAATCTTTATATTTTAACAAGTAACATAACAATAAAAATGGTCTGTTGGTTTCTCAGATGTATTTTTTTAAATTATTTATATTATTTAATGTTACTATTGTTAATTATAAAGGCCTGGAACAGTAGAAATTCATATGTGTTGCTTACTGGCTATTTATATGTACTTACTGGACTAATAAAGCTTAACAAACCTTTTAAGTATTATTATATTTAAGAATAAGTTAGCATGTAGACATTTTTAATTAATTTCAATTACAAGTTGACTAGAGTTGAAAAATTTTCTTACTTTATAAGATTGCTGAATTTCTAAATTCTATTTATTTTATAAGTCATTGATGTATATTCAAAATAGTATATACTGCAAAACAGTTGTTTTATATTTCTTATTTACTGGCTACTTATATGTACTTACTGGACTAATAAAGCTTAAAAATCCTTTTAAGTTTTATTATATTTAAGAATAAGTTAGCATGTAGACATTTTTAATTAATTTCAATTACAAGTTGACTAGAGTTGAAAAATTTTCCTACTTTATAAGATTGCTGAATTTCTAAATTTTATTTATTTTATAAGTCATTGATGTATATTCAAAATAGTGTAGACTTCAAAACAGTTGTTTTATATTTCTTACTTACTGGCTATCAAATATAAAGTTTTTTTGGTGTAAAATTATTCAATTTGAAGCATATTCGAATTTGCCCACATATCATAGTTCGTTGTGAGGCAGTTGGTGCGCTGTTGGACTAAAACCATAAACGAGCCTCACTTCAACATGATAGTTCATCCTTCATCCAGTACTTTCTAGGTCGACATTTGGATCGGTTTTAGGGTTTCAGGCGAGAAAATGCTTTTTCTAATTAGCCTTTTGTTCCTTCTGCTTGGCAAGCAGGCTTTTGGTAACAATGAAAGCGATACAAATGTCAATTATGCTTTTGTAGCTGGTCGTGTCTTCCCACCAGACGACCAGCTAAGCACATCCTGGCTGTTGGAGACAGACGTCCACCTCAAAGGAGCCATACAGAAGGGTTTTATAAGGTATTTAAAAAATATATAAATAGCTTACAGTTATTCGAAAAGTACTTTTTTCCATAGGGAGGATGGATCTTTTGTGTTTACCAATGTACCCCCAGGCTCTTATATAGTCGAAGTGACAAATCCAAGCTATTACTACGAGCCGGTGAGAGTCGAGATCAACTCGAAGGGAAAGATCAGAGCTAGGAAGGTCAACTATATTCAGACATCGCAAGTACTCCATGTGCCTTACCCGCTCAAGATGAAACCGTTCTCGCCAATCCGTTATTTCCAGATCAGAGAGCAATGGAGAATAATCGATTTCCTGTTTAACCCTATGGTACATAGATTATTTACATAATCATGCTAGAGATTCATCATAATTATTCAGAAATCGTGAGATGTGGTCTGGTGTGATGTAGGTTTCAGAAAAATATTTTCTCTATTGTGCCATGACACGCAAGAATGGCACAATTACGCAGAAAACAAACACTTTAAGCCCTGAAGATGATCTCAATAAAGATCAAAATGTTGGGCACGATAAAGAAAATGTTTTTCTGAAACCTACATCACACCAGACTGCATCTCACGATTTTTTAGTAATCATCGACTAACGGTCATTAATCACCACACATTCATCATAATCTTTTATGGTCTCTTCAGGTTTTGATGATGGTACTTCCTTTGCTGCTGGTCATGCTGTTGCCCAGGGTTATGAACGATCCTGAAGCGAAAAAAGTAAAATATCAATTTTTATCTCTATTTTAAAACTTGTAAAAACTCGAAAATCTTTTGTAGGAAATGGAACAGTTCAACAACCTCACCAAGTACGACATGCCCGAGATGTCCGAAATGATCACATCATTTTTTGGCGGCGGGAATCAACCGAAGCCTCGCGCCATCAAACAGTCAAAAAAGAGCTCAAAAGCAAATTCTTAAATGATGAACATTCCTTACAGTTGACTTTTTTTTATAGCCACGATTTTGCAAATTTTATGTCCAAAGTACTTGTCTCACTAACATAAACACATCTAGTCTCCTTTTTTGTTTTTTGTAATAGAATAAATAATTGTGTTGGCTTTTTTAAAATAAATCCCTTTGTCTGAAAACGCTGTACAATGTACATTTATACACTACTGATTAAATGTACTGGATCAAACTATACCAAATAGTTTTCAATTTAATATATGTAATTTATTTGATCAAAATATGTATTTGTACCTGTGATATAAAAAAATTGATAAATAATTAAAATAAAAGTTTATAGTTAAAGATTCTAGAAATTTAGCATTCAAATTCAAACCAACTATCTTTTTTACAACATATTTCAATGCTTGTAATCATATTTCAATTGTTCATACTGCATGGGTCTTTTAGTTTGTTGAGCAAGTTGCCATCATTTGTCCGTGCATTCATACTTAATCATTGTAATCATATTATTTTAATATTTTATTAAAAGAATATGATTACAATTGCAAAACTCATGTATGTTTTACGTCTGATCAATATCTGTCTTATCCGGACGAGATACTAGTAGCAATAGCTACTATGGGGAGATTAAAAATGCCACATATCGCTTTTACAGGATAAAGCACTTTTAAGCCTGTCAATTACCGATAACTTTTGAGTGAATCCGATATTAAGAGCTCTGTAGCCTTTTTTAAGATGTTATTCTCCATTTCAAGGTGTTGAATTTTTTTCTTCATTACACTGAGTTCAATTTATTCTGGAGTTAATAGAAGCCCTGTTGGTGTTTTTCCCTTGACGCTATAAACAAAGAGTTCCCCATCGACTAATGGCTGAAAGGCTCACATTCATTTTTCTTGCTCACGGATCGCAAGAAAATGTTGATGAAATTTTAATAGATAAGTCGACTATTTTATATCAATTTATAAGACTACAGCTATAATTCTGATTGGATGCCCCAGGATATCTTCGCCTTGCTTAATAAAAAAGGCATTATTCACTAGACGAAGTATTTCGGTCGCTATAATTTGCACTTGTCCAGTAGGAACATCTTGTAAATATTTGTAAAAAACCTGTAAACATTGCCAGCCATTGTTTGTAGTGTTTGGCTATTTTATTGAGAAAGATATTGGCCATCAAAGTCGTCCTGATCTTGCTGTTGGTTACTTTTTTTTCTTGCTTGGTTGGTAGTCTGAGGAACTGAGGTTGTTAACACATGGACCAAATATTTAATGTTTGTCATGTCCAGTATGCATTTTATAATGATTTCGGTACATTCCTAGTTGTTACAGTAGTAATTCTCTTTCCAAAATGGTGGCCCTGCATCTGTGTAAACTATTCTGTCGATCAATTTTTGGGTTTTGGTGCATTAGCTAAAATGTGATTGGAATTAAGAAGAAAAAATAATTTATTCTGGGACTGATGTCCCCTAAGAAAAATATACATGAAATAAATAAAGTTCCTTCTATGAAATTAAAAATAAAATAAAAATCTTGGCAATGTATACAAGTAAGGCAAGCCATAAGAAAAAATACCAAATATTAACTTAAAATCTCTGTTTGGAGGGAGAGGAAGTGATAATACAGGTGGGATTTGAAGGAGGAAAAGGAGGCGGCGTGACAAATAGAAAGGGGAAGGGAGTTCTAGAGTTTAGGGGCTCGGATTGGAATTAAATATAGTATCGTAAAAACAATGGATGTAATATACAATACTACTAAACGTGTTTTTGAATTAGCAGTTACCTAAAAAAATGCTTGAAATTAGTTCTATTAGCTAAAAAGTACTGTTAAATCAGCTATATTAGTTTATGAATTTGATAGATTATGAATAGATAGCTACCTTCAAAGGGTTTGGTGTTTTTTTAAAATTTTTTGTTAACCATAAAGAGCTAGAAATAAGCTATTTTAGCTCACAATAATTCCCAGTAGGCTATTTTATGTAAAAAGAGTTCAAAGATAGTTGTATTAACTGTAAAGAGCTTGGTTTTGATATATTAGGTAGGTATAAAAAATAAAAAAATTTAAAAAAAAGCTTGTATTATTTGTAGTTATTATTTAAAAAAATCTTGGTGTTTACCATTTTAGCTGAAATGCACTTGCAGTTAGCTATTTTTCTTTTTTTTAGATTTTTCAAATAGCACTGTCAGCAATTGCAGATAGGACAAGTTTGGAATTAGATGTGTGCTACCTACTTCTTGGCAGTTGCAGCAATTTTTTCTGCACTTCTGCAGTGCAACCAGTCACACAGTGCCTGAGATGTACGAATATAATGAACCACCCAACTTGCTAAAGACACCCAGTGAACCAAATTAAACGCATTGTACATAATTTTCAGCTGGGAACTATAGTCTAGCAGTTCCTAAGAAATCCCGTGTGCCTGAGAAAAGAATTGCAAATAAGTGCTGCATCACCTTTTGTGAGTCTGCCAACTAGTTCCATTCTTTCTATCCCCTCAGGTCTTATCACATCAGAGTAACTTTATAAATCTGTAGATGTAAATTATTTTATAAATTTGTGCCTTTTATACATTAAAAAATTATCCGGTTTACAGCGAGGTTTGTAATTTTTTTAGTATTACACTTATATATACATTATATAAGAAATACATAGTACACATCATATACTAAATAATTTAATTAATTAAAACAAGGAACCCAGAACATGAAATAAATAATTTTACACATTAAGTAAATAATTACGATAACAAACTCATACAACAACACTAATGTCTTTAACACAGTAGAATGTCACATTATTTTAAAAATAAATATATCAATTTATAGATGTCCACATTTCCAGTTGAAAGCTAGCATTCCCAGCAAAATATTCACTCATAATTTTTCAGCGTACATAGCTTGTCAAAAAATGTTTGTATTGCCTCTTTGTATTCTGGGCAGTTAAAATGATATGCTTTATGTTTTCCGGATCATCGCACGTCTTGTAGATTGTAGTAGCTGATGGCTAATTTTATGTTTGAACGAATCGAGGATATCAAAGCAAAAAATTCTTTTGTGCCTCTAATTCCAGAGAATCGTGGTTTGACCCTATTGCCAGGAATTTGGATTTATATGGCAAACCTGCAGTTCTTTGGGTGTACCATGTGCTCTATTCTTGCATCAACTGTTTGCTTAAAGAGGCGTTTTGGGTCCACATTCGGCAGTTTAATGTTGTGATATTCTCCATGCTTTGTCACTTCTTTGGCGTTCAATTTGTAAAAATTGAATTTTCCTTTTATTTTTCAGAAATTTTTTAGCCATTTTATGACTCTCATAGATCTTTTTGAAGTAACAGTATTATCTTTAAAAAAAAGTTAGTTTGTATGGTCTAAAAGGTTTCCTGCATTAGTTGAAAGGATTTTATAGTTTGAAGTATTAGAGGAATTAAACTGGGAATTAACTGTGTTGATAAAAAAGAGTTTATGGTTTGCATATATTATCATAAAAGAGGTAAGAGTTAACAGATAATCAAATAAAATGTTGGATTTGCAATATTATTATTGAAAAGGATGTTAGCTGCAAAGCTTGGAATTGGTTGTATTAGGTCAAAAGTACTTAAAATTAGCTCTACTAGCTGAAAATAGCTGATGTAATCCTTCCTTCTGCGTTTTTGGCTATTTGTACGAACACCACATGACCTGTAGTTGATGTCTATGCCACACAAGCGCCATACCCTGTAACTGAAACCGGATGATCCTCATGACAAATAATCGTGATAACCTCCTGATGACCTAGGTAAGCAATTTTCGACCGAAAAACAAAGATATTTCATCCTGATTCTGTCAAATGTCAGAGAGTGCTGTGAACACACTTGAAAAAGTCAACTGGAGGGTTAACGTTATAATATCTTCGAGGTAAATTAAACAAGTAAAAAAAATACTGCGTGTTACATTACATTGTTTTCTGGTGGACAGTATTTTTCGCTAGGCTTGTTTTTCTGTAAAGTAAACTTCTGGTTAAGATTAAGTCATGGGGCTTTTGAACCTAAGGGTGTTGTAAAAATCAGGGTTTGATCTTTAACAATATGGCCTGTTTTCATCTTTCTGTGCTTCCCCAGTCAAAACAATATTGTTATAGAGAATTACTTTTTTCTGTGATCGCAGATCATCCTGGTCTGTCAAGGTCAACTTTTGAAGATGGCGTAAATAAAAAATTTCTTACAGAATGTATTAGCAAGGCGATAGTCGGTCCTTTTTTTATTATTTTATTTTTAATTGGTCATGGATACCAGGAACTAGAGAGCTCCCATGGGTCAGGACTGAATTCAGGGTCTCAGACCTGAGATGTACTAGCTGAGAGTCTGACGCTTTAGCCCCTCAGCTACCTGGTCCCTCTAGGGTTTTTGGACACTGTTCTGAAAGCAAATAAAAAGGTGTTCAGATTGGAAATGGCTAGGATATCGCAACATCTGGATACTAAAAATTCAATTGCTAGGACAAATCGGTGAAGAAAGTCCAAGATGTCACAGATTTGGGTCATAGAGGGAATTTCTCTCCCGACTCAGAATAAACCTTGTGTGGTTGGCAGACACCTTATTTTGAGCGAAAGCCTATGACTATATTACAATGATGTGTAAAACTGATCCAGGTACATGTTCATTGATATTTTTCAGTACATTTAGTTAACAGTGCTATGTTTAGACTTGTTTTTTAATTTTTGCTGCTGTCTGTTTCATCTTGTTTCTAAAAATTCATCTATAAGAAAGCTTTGTCCAGCAGCATTCTACGCATTCCCATGTTCTCTTATAGCTTAAACATTTTTAGACAAAACCTAGGCTCATCGGGATTTACTTTTTTTACCCCAAAGTTTTTTCATGTAAGCCAGTAGTTTATTTGACCTCATTAACTTTCTAAAGTTTGTATTTTTTGTTGAACATGTCTCTGCTTCGTTTGTTAACCATTTTAATACTAAATAATTAAACGACTATTTTACAAAATTAACTTATGTCTGTAAGTCTCTGTAAGTACAAATAAAGAATGTTAATTTCATACTAACAGAGAAATAAATTGCTTAATCTATACAAACAACAAATAAGAATTATGAACAGGAATAATCTTGAAATAATATCTGAAAATATATAAATGCAAATAAACACGAATGTAAATAAAGGAACAAATAATTGAGTATTACTTAAATACAAGTAAAAAAACTGAGTAGGCTAATCCTAACGAAGGAATAAAATAATTATGAAAATATTGAGAAAATAGTTATTCAGATATCGTGAGATGCGGTCGGTCCCGACCGCATCTCACGATATCTTAATAACTATCAATTAACGGTCACTAATCTCTACACATTGAGAAAATAATTAAAATGAGTGTGATTACAAATGAAAGGAAGTATATAATTTGACGCAATGCAGGTCGAGGTTAGGTGAGGTCTGATCGCAATGCGCATCTTAAATCAGAATGCTCTCAATTCTCTCTTCGTCTGCTCGCTTGTCTTTCTGTCTTCTTTTGTTGTCCAGGTCTGAAAAAAATATTTAAACAATTATTTGAATATTACTGTTTTATTCTAAGGCGTTTCATAGTTGTAAAACTTTAAAATATCAATACGATTTAAAAATAATACAATTTTAAGTCTAAAATGTATAAAAAAATGTATTTTGGTACATTTATTAACAAACCACAAACTAACATCAAAAATATTTAATAAAATAATATAAACTTCAACACTTACTTAAAACGTTAAAACATTATTAAAAGCTTCAGTTTAACAATATGAATTTATTATTTACATTATCACATGTAATACATTTTTGCATTAAATCATTTTAAATATCTTCATTTAATTCGTAATTATAACGGCCAATATGAGGTCCTGATTTTATCTATCAATTGTTTTGTATGAAGGATACCAGCTAGTGAATCATTTGATAACATATTTCTATGTTTGCTTTTATTTCTTTTATTTAAATTTATGATGCTGACAATTCTTTCTGTGCATGCTATGTGGTAGTCGTTATTCTAGAAAACAAATTCAGTTATATTTGGGTACAATGGTTCGTTACTTACTTTTTAAATCTTTCTCTCTCCAAAACTCTTCAATAGCGAAGGAAAAATCTAAATCTCCCTGATTGCAGTCCATACAATATTCTCTGTCTAAAAGATTTATATCACAGATTAAGTTTTTAAAATAATTTTGCGATTGTATTATTATTTTTAGGGTCAAAGGAATTTATAATTTCCCTTAACTTCACTAATTTTGTGGTCTGCTTGACCAATTAAATCATTACAATTAATTAAGGTTTTTTTTTTTAGTTGAGATGAAAAAAAGTTAATGGCACGAGCGGGATTCGAACCCACGATCTTCGGCTAGATACGCCACTGCTCTACCACTTGAGGTCACGCTAGCTCAAGTGGTAGAGCAGCGGCGTATCTAGCCGAAGATCGTGGGTTCGAATCCTGCTCGTGCCATTAACTTTTTTTCATCTCAACTAAAAAACCTTAATTAATTGTAATTTCCCTTAACCCTTGAACCAAAGGTTGATTTAAATATAAATTGTTTTCACATTTGATTTAAAGATTTTTGGTTAGTTTATAATATTTAATTGAATTTTCGTTAAGGACCTTGTTCAAGTTTGGCAATCCTGACTTACTTTTCCTAAATAAATGTATGATAAGCACAACTAGCATGTGTAAATAGTCTACATCAAGAAGTCTTTCTTTTATCAATTCTGATTTTACAAAGCATTCTAGTATCATCACATAAGTTGTATGCATAGAGCCATTTATTTATAGCTGAAATTAAAATATGTATAAACTTGTCGGAACAAAGTTTCTGGAGCCTGGGAAGTTTTGCACACTTGTGAAACACACAATGTTTGGAGTGGCAAATACATTTTAGAATAAAAAGTTTTAGCACATGCTTCTTTAAGTGGGCTTGTTGAGAATGATTCACAATGAATTTTTGTAGGGGTTTTCCTATTCTTGCGATTTTGTGCTTAATTTTACAGTTCATAAATCACTACACACTACAAATCGCAGGAACAGTAAGATGTAAATCACTCACAGTCAAAATTTTCTTTTTAATATTTCCCCACCACAGTAGTGAGTAGGGACACTGAGTATCCAGCCTGTCCTGTCTTCAAGATTATCAGACTGACATGATCGATTCCAACATAGCCCAAGACGTGTTCCTAGAAAAAAATTCACAGTATTGAGTAAGAGAAAATAGTATAGTATTGCTTTTGATGGTGCTGCAGCTGTCACCATAGCTTAAGATTTATGAGGTTGTTCAGTTATCGACCAACTTTGATTATAATCTGGTTTGGGATGTTCCACCATTTCCTCTGCTTCGAATAGGACTAATAGCTCAGATGTCACTAGTTAGTGACCATTTTTTGGCCATTGACGTAATAGTTCCTTAGCAGTCTTTGTTACCATATTTGAACTGACCTTCTTTATCTTGAATTTATTGTAATCCAAGCACGAAAGAACTTTGTAGGGTCCCAACGTTTTACATATGTGCATATCTTGAATTTCGATGCACGCTACGAACTCGCTTATGAAGATATTAAACGAGTCTCTCCTTTTAAGACTTGTGGAGTTGTAGTGTTTTGCACTGAGCACCGCGTTGTTACATCTTCCTTATTGTGGCTGCACGTACGTTGGCAGTAGCGTGTTGAAGGGAGAGAAAGTGATGGTCGGTGAGGGGGTGCAAGTTTATTTACAGATGTTATGTTGAGCGCCACGGTATTTTTGCAGAAGGATAAATACCGAAACCAGAAAAAAAGAGGAGAAAAGTAGAACAATAGAAAAAAAGAAAGGGAAAAGGAAGGACAGAAACAGTTCTTGTGTTAGATCCCAGACGACCGATGTAGCGTTTCTTGCTTCTCTTCTTTCTGATGAAGTGGCGCTTCCACCCAGGGTTATGATATGGGAACTAAATAATGAAATTCTTCCTTCTTCTACCGGAGTTAATTTGTTAACACAAGAAATCTTAGGGTGTTTAGCTTACTTAGGGTTTAAACTACAATTGAAAAAAATGAATACTAATAACAACTATTTATATCTAAATTTACAAATTCTTTTTAAAATTAAACTAATTATAGGTTGAAACTTGCAACTAATGTCTTTAGACCCGAATTATCAGGCCTGATAAAGAAATTGGAAATGAACCAACTCAAGGGATCACTCTTCCACTTAGGCTGTGCTGTGCCCACTGGGATCAGCACCTCTTCGGAGGAACTCTCCGCACCCATAGATCAGCACCACTGGGATCACACCCAACACAAGCCACAGACACACTTTTTTAAAAATATTTTCATTTCCTCGCAGAGACCACCTCTTATTTGGATCGTCTATCTCGGACTGACTGCTGCTTGCTTTTTTTTTCCAATCTCGAACCTGGAGCCCACTAGCCTCGAACCCAGTGCCCTCCGGGTTGCAGGCCGTGAATTGCTTCCTGCTTCTCATCTCGGTTTGTCCCGCCCCTTTTTAAGTTTTATTAAATTTTTTACGAGAAGAAGAAAAAAAACTGTAATAGCGTCTATCTAGCACTTTCTTTTGAATAGGACCTAGGCCCCGTGAAAGGTCCTTAAGAACATCCTCTATTAAAGGAGTGAAACATTGCACTCTCAACAGTAGCGTCATTGGAGACACCTGTGGATTTTTGAATCGTAGCATTCAATACTAGCTGAATTTTCCACTTGACCATTCTGATTTTACCTTATTTTTAATCCTTATCATGTTCATGATATTACGCATGTATCGCTCCACCTGATCGTTTCTGTAATGTAGGTCTGTTGTAACATAATGGTATTTGATATTCCAGGTATTTTGGCAACGAAGTATTCCTAAAATTTGATACACCATCATGATAATCTTTCCAGCAGTACCAAAATTAGATATGAATAGTCTTTCGTTTCAGAAGCAGTCACGGATTTAGGTAGACCAAGGAAACAATATTTGATGTAGGCATCTACCATAACCAAGACCTATTTGAAATTATTAGATATAGGCAGATCCTAACACGTCTGCAAGTGTGGACCTGTGCACGATTTCTTTACTGTACACACTAGACAGCGGTGGATGTAGTTTTCAGGATTCTACCTGAATCTAGTCTTACAGTAATTCCCCATTTGGTCTTTTTTCAGTCTTGTTTCGTATAAATTTTTAATCTTGTAATTTAACCTTTTTTTTTTAACCATCCACCATTCCTCAGAGACCCCATACCGGTGGACCGTTCTCAAAAAGGGAAAAGGCCCAACTCTTTCCTTGAGTCTACTGTTCCAGTTTCATTTCTTTAAATATTTTCTCCATTAAGTCTGAGCTAATTATAAAGAATGAAACTATACTGTTTACACCAGGATTTAAATTGATAAAATGAACCTTAAATTTACAATCTTTTGCGTCATTCCTTGGTAGAAGGGGGAATTTTGATTGCAATTCTAATTAGTTTTGTCTTGAGTTCCTGATACACAGGATGCTTCCATTGGTGCGAACTTTGGATACCATCGCCTTTGATATGCTATCCACAATCATACTCATGGGCCTTGCTACCATCTTTGGAAGGAATTGCAATATTTTCCCCTGTGCCTGCTCTGCTACAGCTCCACAAGTCTCAGGCATCATTAGCATAATCAGCATTCAAACTTTCAGCAGGGGTGCAAGTAATACATCACAAGTTTTAAGTCTGGGTCAAGTCAAACGAGACTTTTTAATGCCTCAAAGTCTATAGCATATCAGACATCAAAATTTTCTAGGTGCAGATAATCTACCAAAGTGGATTTTTCATAAAAACCAACTTGTTCGATCAGTTTATTGAATCCAAATTGGGCTTAACTTGTTTCTTTAGGTCATCACAAATAGTTCGGAAAAGTTTGATGATTTGTGGGGCAATTATAATTAAAGTATTTCCTTTTTTATGTGGAAGATTTTCGGTCTAATTAGGAGAAAGAATATGTGAGGGTTGTCTATTTTTTTACTCATTTCTGTTGGGCCTGTTTTCTGATTAATTTTGATTAGCAGGTAAGCTACCCATTTTTCACAAATTCAAGATGGTCATTGTATTATGTTGCCTACTGGATCTTTTCTTTTGTACTCAATTTTCCGTGTATTATTTGCTTTGTGTTTATATAATTGTCTCTTAAAACTAATATTGTGTATGGCTTTTTGTCATGTTACTAATTTTTAACATTATATATTTTGTTTCTTTTTGCAGGGATCTTTCAAAAGTTCTTGAGCCGATTGTATATCTCGAGCTCGTAATGGCAGATGGGAAAATCGAAAGCCTCGAAGTGCCTGTGTCCAAGTTCCACACCCTTCGTCAGAATGTCGCCTTACTTCTCAAGGAAATCGACACTGTTAACAGAAAGGGTTCAAATATTCTAAGACTGATCGGCCCATCTCAATTTTCCTAAATCACTCATTTATAATTCACATTTTTTGTTTTGTTACAATTATTACCTTACTTTGGTGAGTTGACTTAAGGTATTATTTTATAACAGTATGGAAACAGAAATAAAGTGCTGCTTACATTGTCATTATATTTCATCTTTGTTACAATCAATGAAATTGTGGAACTAGGAACACTAAGATGTTTAAATATTTAATACATAAATATTGAATTAGAATACAAATGAAATTCTGGCAAGTACACAGCCACATTAAAAAATTATAATGTAAAAAATTATTAAAAATAAAAGTTGAAAAGTTACAGAACCGCTCTTCCTTTCTTAACAGCCTTTTTGATTTTCTTTTGTTTCTTTTCTTTGTTCTTAGCAGCTAAATTCTCTTTGCGTTTCTTCTGAGTCTCTTGTTTCTTCTGTTCGACGGCTTGTAGCCGCGCATCCCACTTTTTGGCGCTTCTGTTTTTCTGTTGTTTCTTTTTCGCGATGGACTTTTTAAGAAGCAAGACGTCGTCTTTTACCTTGACACCTTCGACTTTGTTGATCGCCTGTTCCCAGGTTTGTTTTGTCTTTATTTTTTGAACTGTCTCGCCACGACCGCGTTCCTCAAGAGTTTTCAACTTTTTCTTGCTCTTTTCGATCTGGTGAAGTATCGCCTTTGGATCTTTGGGGCCCTTGTTCATTTTGTTTTCAGAATCGGGGAAGTCAAATTTGTTAAACATTATATTAGGCTTTTCGTCACTCGTACTGGGTTCACTTGCTTCCGATGTAGAAGGGATCGGTTTCACCATGTTACCTTTGGAACTTTTATTCTTTGCCATCTTTAGCTTCTTTTCTTGCAATTCTTCTAGTTTCATTTTCTTTTTTAGCCTGTTCTTCAGTCCCTTTTTTATTAATGATGCTGCATACCCTGGTTTACCTTAAATTTCGTTTAATAATTATTGATCATTTCATAATGGATTCAACCATAACAAACCTCTCAATTCTGTTAGTCTTGTTTCTAGTTCCTTTATTGTTTTCGCTCTTGGGGCATTTCCTAGCCTTGGAAATGGTTGTTTGCTATTTTTACTGCCTATAAAAATAATCAGACGTTTAAGACAATTAATTTCCTACTGTGTGAAAACAATGAAACAATCTTACTTGTTCTAAGTTCAACTTCTTCCATGCCATCTTCATCCAGTACTATAAATAACAAAAAGTCAACAGTTAAGTAAAATAATACTTAAAAAATGAAAAATGGTTGCGAACAAAGCAATAATAAAAGTATAATTTTAACTAGCTGAAACTTTGACAAAATTCAGTTTTATGATTGTGTTTCACTAATCTGATTTGACAAATCTGATTGTCGGCTTTGAAAAATTACGTAGAATTGGCCGTAGGAAAAGTCTAGGATGATGGATCAAAAATCAATGAAAATTTCAATAAACAAATTTAGTTAACAATATATGAACTATTTTGTTCCACTGTTGTCATCTCTGTATCTAAAGCATCATTATCATACAAATAAATTCTGAACTGAGGTTTTCCTTTTGTGGTAATAAAAAACCCATAACGGATGGAAATGTACTATTTTAAATCCTTTGTTTTAAATTAGCCCCTATTCACTTTTCAGTGTGTGTAATAACTAAATAATCATTGCTTCAGAAAATAAAAGGGATAAAATCAAATGATTAAAAAACCGTACAAACTTGTCTTACAAGCAAATATTTAGGAATATTCCTTTTATGGAAAATCAGAAACAATCATCAAATAAGAATTTGATTTAAAAATTTATCGATGATATCACTGTGGATGACTAATGTTTACAGGAAAGCTGGTCAATAATTAATCACGTGATCTCACCAGTAAGAAAGTTAACTATAAAAAAAAAAATAAGATTTTTCTTTAAACATTAAGGGATTTTGTTTTGATGTTCCTGTTTCACCATGACATTGCTGTTTTATTCTCGCTTAAGATTACATACATTTCAATGATAAGGAAAAGCAGAGAAATAACGGAATATGAGTTTGCTACACATATTTAAGGAATTTATGTCAACATATGACAAAATATGTCAACACCAGGTTAAAGAATTAAACACCCATTTCATCTAACTTTCGGTGTTTATTTTACGGAGAAAGAGAAACAATCACCGAATTAGAATTTGCTTTGCTGCAAATATTTAGGGATTTTCTATTAATGTATGATGTAGTATGTCTTAAAGCCAGGTAATCAACAAATTTAACTCCCGTTTTGCCTTCTTTTCGGTGTTTATTTTAAGGAAAAACAAATCATCGAATGAATTTGCTAGAAATATTTATGGACTTTTTTTGTCAATATGAGACAATATGTCATAACTACATAGTAAATCAATTTAACTCCTGCTTCCTGTACCATAAATAGTAAAAAAGGCAACTATCGCAAAAAATTTAAATGTTTAGATACTTAAGTCTTAGTTGAGATTAAAAAGTCAATGTCAAGCGGGATTTGAACCCACAACCTAGGGCTCAATACGCCGTTGCTCTAAACAGTTGAGCTATTGTGAGTTTGATACACTCTGACAGCAAAAAGGCATTTGAAAAAATGAAAGTCTTCAAGTGGTTGAGCAGTGGCGTACTAAAAGATTGTGGGTTGAATCCTGCTCGTGATACTGACTTATTCATCTCAACTAAGACTTTCGATAAAAAATTATGATTGCTAAACATATATGGATTAATATTCAGATACTGTTTTTATCTCACTTTGCCTTAGTTGTTTCTTTCTGGTTTCAGATTAAAAACATACATAGCCAAAACAATAAAAAATTAGGGCTTTTCCTCATTGAATATGGCACTAAGGGAGACAGACAGATTCCCGCAGGTATAAGTAAACTTTTTCGAGATTCAACTCCAACTTTCCTAACATCCAAGTTTGAGAGGTACAGATTCATTCCCTGCATTTAAGTACATTTTTAAGTCCCTGGTTTGCGGAATGTAAAACAACATATTTATATGATGAATAAAATAAATGCAATAGTGATTGTACTAAAATACATGTGAATGATAGAATCAATTCTGTATCAATCATATAATCAAAATATGTATCTATTAAAAACAGTACCACATTAATAATGATTGTAATAAAATGCAGTGAAATGTTAAAAATAAAAATGTTGACGTTTGGCAAAATAAAAATCATGCAGCGGGCAGTAACACTTTAAAAAAGCAGGGCGTATTTTTCCCGGCGTTTGTTCGGTAGCAGAGAAAACACTAGAAGTATGTAGTGATCATTTTTTAAGCTATGTATGGTCACTAGCTGGTGGAAAATTTTTGGAGAGCGCTTAAACGCACCATTGATATAAATCGTGCCTACACTAGCCAATACTGCCAGATACTTATCGTTCATTTTTGAGCAGGAAATTGTCACTGTTCAAAGTTGTCCTACTGTGCTTGTCTAAACATTCATGTACATCCATGATAGTAGGCATAGCCAGTACGATTGACCTTTTATCATGAATTGCTCTTATATACCTACGGTCGTTGGCCAGTTCATATTTGAGGAATCAATTTCACCGAGTATAAGTTTTCGTGGGAAGGAATGTGTTCGTTTGATAAACCATACTGTCCAACCTTGGGAATGAATCAGTACAATCTTAGGGTATCTATGATCCTGGCACTAAGGTAGTAGTGAACAACGCATGGACCGCCTAGTCTCGCTGTTGTCATGAAACGTATTAGCTATTATTTAATAGTTTTTGAATAAACCAGTATTTAAATGGGGTTTTTCTAAGCAGAGCATTTGTAGTTGGCGTGTTTAAAACGATGCATTGTACCGTTCTGGAAGAGCACGTGGTTCATCGTTGTCATTGTGCTGTCACACGCCGGCATACGTAAATATTTTTGATGAAGACGTAAAAATTTATTTAGTACCTCTAGCCCGTTTGAAGCTGTCCGGCAAGTCTCTCGAAATCCTCTCGTATCTCTTCAGGGCCTCTAGGAAGAAGGTTTTCATAGCAATTTTAGAGATGACGGGCGTTTTGCGCTTTTCGGCATTTTTTGCGATCAACGGTTCCTCGTCGACTTTGACAGCCATCTGGATGATCAGAGGGTTCCTGTGTCTTGAAAAATAAGGGAAAAACGAAAAATCTAGGGCTTTTTGTTGGGTAAGGCTTCGAAGTGGATATTACGGGGAAATTGTAGGCGGGCCAAGAGAGGGACGAGTGACGACCCCCTCGAAGCCGACTTCAGGGTTCAGGGCTGCAAACTGCAAGACTGCAATCGACTTTTGAAGAAAAATCGATGAATCCCTTGAAATACATAAATCGACTTTATTTTTCATTTTAAAATGGAATAAAAATATCCCTTCAACATTCCTTACTAGTTTTGTTTAACAATAAAATAGTTAAATAATTTACAAGCGCATTCTAGTGTAGTTTTCTTCTGAAAATCGTCAGTGTCTTGATAGAGACAGAATTTCTCAAAACTATTTCTGGTTTTAATTCATAAAAAAAACCGCCTTGACGAAATGTTTATTTTGTTCGTTTGATGATTTAATAAACATACAAATATATAAAAATAATATGTTTATGCGTTAAAATAAAAGAGAAAACTGGCTAATTGTCGTTTTGCCATGTTCAGATACCCTTCCCAGGTCTGACTAGAGATTCCACGCCCCTCCTACACCTGAATTCTCTACATTTAAAGATAAATTCCTCTGGTGAATAATTTTTAAAACATATTTCGACAAGCGGCCTTAGTTTAATATCGAATTTGACGGAAAAAAAATTATTTTACTGGCATTGGAACAATTGTCCCGTGGACATCGCGATTCAGTCGGACTGGGTGAACCTGCGGAAAGTCTCTTGTTAACAATTAGCAAGAGGTGCGGACTGGGTTCTGTCTCTGAGTTTGTATCTCTGCGATTCTGGAATTTCCACCACTGGAAGGGAAAAAAACCGCTTGATTCTGGTGAGGTCAGGAGATGTCCGTCGTATTTATATTTTTTAACATAAGATATAGCAGACTCAGGGAAATCAGACTTAAAAATGGGATATTTCTACTTTTTTTTTCTTTTTCCTCCTTATCCCTACTAAAAGTACAACGTTGAATCACCCTAACATAAAACAACAGAAATTACACATAAAACAAATCTAGGTTAAATTAAAAAAAGAAATTCCCTACTCAAATATCTTGATTCAGCATCATAGACATATAAAATCTAGTTTGTTACTTATGGAAACTTTCTTACATTAAAATGATCCCATAGCCTCAACCCAAGCTACTCATCATTTTATCATTTCTTCTAAATTATTTGAAAAATTAATTGACAAAAAAATTCTCTTATTTTTTTGTATTTAATTTTATTTTTTCACGAGGGTTCGCAACTTCATGGGGTACCGGTGGTTTTGGAAAAAAAATTGCAAGTTTGTCGTGTTGGAATGCAGGGCTGCTGGATTCGAACCCAGGACCTTTGCAGTGATGAGTGCCTCTCATGCCTAAACCGTTGCGGTCACTGATGCCCCTAATTATCTCTATTGCTACTAAAAACCATACCAGACCATCAATTTGGCTTGCGAACCCACCATTCCACTACTCGTCAACTTTACAGATTTTGTTTCTTCATGTCTCAAGCAGAAACTGTACGTGACGAGTGATTTTATTTGTTCATCAAAGGTCAAATATCAATAAATCCTTTAGTTCCAATTGTTTATTAATCTATTTGGAAAACTACTAATAAACAGTTGGAACTAACAGCCGTAATTGATGAGTTTCACCAAAATAACGAACTTCGAAAAAATAATTTTTATATGTTTCTCAGGCCTTCGATAAAGATTGAGGGTATATTATACGAATTAAAATGATTTTTACCCCAGCCCTATTATCCAATTGTACAATCATACCTCAAGGAGAGATTTTTCGCAGTAAACCAGAGATTGGAGATTTCTGAGATGAACGAAGTGTTTTCAGGTGTGCCACAAGGGTCAATACATGCTCCGCTGTTGTACACAATTTTTATTTCTGACATGGCCACAAATGAAATGCACTTACCACCTCATACTCAGATGACACTGCCATATTAACAAGTTTTCCCTCTTCTACATAAGCTTCACTTATGTTATAAAACCATATAACAATCGAAAAATAGAGTAATTTTTGGAAAATAAAATTTAACTCCTCACAGTCACAAAATATCACCTTTACCTCTGCCATGAGACTTGTCCTACCATATATTTATACAATGAACCTGTTCCTCAATCTGACAAAGTTAACTATTTAGAAATTACATTTGATAGAATACTAATTTAGAATCCAAGCACACAATTAAAAAAAAAAAAAAACCACATTCTGTTTTCACACACGGGTTTGTTGAACTACTCAAACGTATTTCGGTATTGCACCAAGAACTTATTCCTCATTGAAGATGGCAAAACGCATTTGAGTAGTTCAATAAGCCCCCGAGCGAAGATAGACCCAATACTTTAACGTTTATTTAATAACCTGACTCATCTTGGCAGTTATATTTTACTGCAGAATATTTTTTCCAATCATATATAACAGTAAACATATTCTACACACAAAATGTGCAGTAATAATCTTTAATCATTTATTTTTATCATGGAGTTGAAATAAACGTAAAATTTACTAATAAAGATGGCAAGATGCTGAAATGCGTCTTTCAAACTGAACCGGCAAAGAATGGCATGCCAAAAGAAAAACCTAGAGCTTAGTTTTTAGGCAGTACAATCTTGACATTTATACTTTACTGCAGAAATGTATATAGACATGTTTTAACCACAAATTACATAATAAAAATCTTGTTTTTTTACTTGACAGTTTGTACATGAAATATAATCTCCAATAATCACAGTGTATGATAAAAAATTTAATTTTCTGCTTAAGCAATCCACGATTTTGTCGATTAATTTAAAAACACAAATCTTCATTACTGATATGACTTTGAGATAGTTGTGATAAAAAATGGAACCATGCTAAATATGCCAAAAAAAACTACACTGTCATAAAAATCTTGTTTGCAAGAACAACTTTATACTCCTCCCCGAAAAAATTAATAAATGAAAAAACCCTTGAAATACTTTATTCATAGGCCCATCCAGAATCTATATTTTCAGTCAACAAAAAAACACCTTCATCTGTACAAGCAATGCAAGTACATATAACATTAAAATCATAATTGTCATTCTGTGACCTCACATCCGGTTGTTTTAGGTTTGCTTATGTTTAAGCAACAGAAAAACGAAAATCATCATGGCAATTATATTTTACTGCAGAACCATTTTGCAATTATATATAACAATAAACATGTTCTCCAGACAAAATATACAATAATAATTTTTACTTGATTGTTGACTATTCTGAAATAACTCACTACCGAAGAAGGCGATATGCTGAAAGCATCTGATCTAACAAACTGGGGAGGATAGGAATCTAAACACTGTCTTTAAATAATAGTAAACATAAAAACATATTTTTCTGCTCAAATTGGTCATTCCTGTTCAAAAAATAAATTAATTAACAAAAATAATGACAGAAAAGCATATTTCTAAACTAATTACAGCTCAGTAAATAAAAATATATCCTAAAATTTAGAGATTAATATTTAAATTTTCTATTGACAACCAATCCTTGCTCTAAATTTGGAAACAGAAATGCCAGTTTGATTTAGTAATTTGAAAGATAAATATTTGTAGATATTAGACGAGCTTCACGGATGAGGCCATATCTAATTAGTTTTGATGGTTGGTAAAAAAAAAAAGTTAAACTGCGTTGTTAATCTGAAATGTTATGGCAGACAATAGACCAGTATAATAAACATCAATATACATGAAAATCGAGATTTTCCATTAATCCGAGATCATATCTGGTGTTTCGGTTGGCTAACAAAAAAAATAAACAAAAATCTACAGTGTTTAATTATGTTCACTGCATTTGTAAATGGAAATGACTAACAACATACACTATAAAAATCTTTGCTTCCTGCCCTCGGATCATCAAATGGCAACAAACAAATAACGACATTAATTACGAGCAGTTTCAAAATTGATAAACTGAAATAACAGCTTTGGCAGCCATCCTGTAAAATAATAAATAAAAACTCAATTAAAGATGGTGAGATTTCTCTTCAGGGTGATAAACCTCTAATTTGGTCGTTACTGATCATTTAGATCTGTCTAATCCTGCTGGATTGGGCTCTCAAATGCATTTAGGCATGTCGCCACCTTCAGTGTGTCATTTAAAGGATAAGAGAAGAAACAGGATAAATTTAAACTTGCTCTATGAACAACCGTCTTCCACAAAAATCTTGATTTTCCTCTCTACCATTTTTTATCTCTTATATATATTATTCAGGGTGGGCGACCAAGACCCGAGGGGTTTTAGCCTGGGTAGACTCGTACTACTCTCTTATTACTTATACTTACTTTTTTATCTCTTAGTTTTGTTAGTTTAAAAAACGCTGTTTCTATTTCTTTGCACTGTTACTAACAACCATACAGTTTATTGTATGAATGTGATTTTCGGTTCTTTCAATTTTTGCAGGTAAAAAACAAATATTTACATTCCATGTTATATCTGTTTTGTACAATTGGGTAATGGCAGCTTTGTTAGAAAAGTCTTGTAATTATAGACAAACATGTAGACATAGTTACAAACAAAACTAAACCTGGATTTCCCAACAGATCACATCTGGTCCCATTAGTTGGTTAATTCAAAACAAAACTTTCTATTTAGATATGTTTAAAAAATTTGAAAACAATTGTATGAACTAATTACAATAATTAAATTATTCTAATAAAACCTGAAGATTTTTGGTTGTGTATTACAATAAATGTACATTTCAGGACCAAAAATGGAGGTATCGTCTGAAACAAAGCTCAGGCGTTTTTTGCTTTATGCCAGCGAAAGCAATGTTTATTTGCCAGGGAGCAGGCTGCAGTGGAAATTTTATGAAAAAGAGAATCTCGAATCGTTTAGGACATTGCTCAAGAGCTTGGACAAGGACGTTGTACTCAAGTTGATCAAATGGGTTCGTTTGATGTTATCTTGAGCCCAGCACAAGTATAACCTACGTTGTTGTAGGTGCACGGTGAAAAACTGTCACCGCATCCTGAAGTCATACCTTTTGTACTGACTGAGTGTTGCCGCATCAAAGAGTGGAGGGCAGACGCACTCAATATGGCTACACTCATACTCAGAGACGTCGACGATTTTCTATTGTTCTTTAAATTCGCCTTCGAGGTCTCGCCAAAGTTGGGGACAGGAAGAGGTGTGAAGCGATTTATCAAGACCTGGTACGATAGACAGCAGACCGTCGAATTGGTAGGAATGGTAGGTGAAAGACCCAAGTTTAGGGGATGGCGTCATGCCGACCTTATAAAACTCGCCCATCTAAAAAGCGAAAGACCTGGTAAGAAAATATTTTACACACAATTCTGTTAAATTAGAGTAAATTGATATTTGTTTAAAGTATTTTCTTTCTGTAATAATTTTTTATTTTGCATTTGCGCTAAATTATATTTGTTTTACAATAGCAAAGGCAGCGATTTACGCCTATGCTGTTGGAGGTGTTGAAAATATGGTGAAGAAGTTTGGACAGGATGAAAATGCCAAATGGGTAGTTGACCACCTTGTTAAGATAAATGAGTTCAAAAAAGAAAAAAGCCCTGATAAAACAATTGCGTAAGTTAAAACTTTTCTAAATTATTTGGACAGGAGTTATTGAATATATTTCACAAAGTACTTGAGATAGTATTTAAAATGCAAAAAAAATAAATTTTCAGAGTAATCGAGGAATACATTCTTTCAATTGGTTATGTCAACCATATTCACTACAAAAACAAAAAGGTAAACAGAAATTCTTATCAGAATTTCTCAATGGAATAAAACATTTTAAACGCAGTTCAAATTTGTTTTGAAAGGTGTGGAAAGCCGTTTTGCCAAGGATGACAGTCGATGAAATCGTACCGAGGCTACACTTGCTCAGCAAGTATGGAATGTTTCGTTCCCATCAGAACAAAACGTGGGATCCTCAGTTCATCCCTCTTCTTCTAGATCGAATTGTGAATAAAACGAATGTGACGAGATCGAAGATTCAACCGAGCACAATTTGCCTCGAGCTCAACCGATATCAAAATGAACCAAGGTCTGTTCTTTACAACAAACTTAATTTTTATTTACGCTGATTGATTTTGGTTTTTAGCTTAAAATATCAGACTGCTGTTAAGAGAAACAAACGGGCCAAAAAGGCACCGCAGATATCTAAAGAATATGTCCAGGCCCTTGAAGAAGTGATGTTAATGGCTTTTGAGGTAAGAGATTCTTATAAAACAACAAACAAACGAAATGAACCAATTGTTCTAATTTTCAGAACATCAAACCGACAGGATTAAATTATACGATAATCATCGATGATTTCAAACTGCAGAGTAGAAGGTGCGCTTACAGGCGGTTCATTTCTCCGCAAATTGCCGCTGCCGTACTCGCCCTCAGTTTGAACAAGGCAGGAAACGACGTTAAAATTGTCACCTTCACAGGGAAGAACATTGAATTCTGGACCGGCCCAAAAACGACCAGCGTGCATTCGCTGGCGTCTGTATTCGGGACCGAAAGCTTAGTAAGTAAATTCGATTCAATTCAGAATTCATTGGGTTGTAAACGTAAAATAAGTCCGTAGCATTTGTCAATAATTTTTTGTTTGGAAGCAATGTTTATTTTAGTCATTACTGTTCCCTATTAAAATGGATATGTTAAGGTATTTTTATTCATCGGTTTTGTTCAAGATATTCTATTTTTTCAATTGTTTTGATAATTTAAAATGGAGGAAAAGTAGTGATTTTTTGATATTTCACGTTTTTTAAATACTACAAAGGGGAATCTATAGCTCAGACTGCTAGGAAAATTTGTTATGTATATGGTAATGAATCCTACAGGTCATTGCCGGTGAGCACTCAATAGACTAATTCTAATTGCAAAGATACGAGTGATATAGCAACTCAACAACACACAACTAGAGAGATAGAACAGTAGATATAAGGCAATGGCAACAAAGAAGGAATACCTCTCAAAAAGCCAGGGAAAAGCAAACACATTGAAATCTACCGTTATCTTGCCCAGATGCTTACGAGGCATGGGGACTTTGCAGGGAAGTTGTACCAGTTTTGCCTGCACGATTCGCCACTTTGCAGTTGGGGTGAAAATGAAACTTGCACGTCTAATTGAACTTAAGAGCCGTAGCCAGAGAGAAAAAAAAATTAAATTAAATTAAAAAAAAAAAAAAAATGTACACAAGGGTTGGCTAGAAGAAGAAGAAGTATAAGAGGGGAACCTCATTCTGACCATACCTCAGTGAGGCCCATCAAGCGCAGATCCTAACTAGGGCATGAGGAGTGACTGCTAGAATGGGAGGGAAAAATCATTAAACCACTCTGCCGGGCCATAATAGGCAGAAATGTGTGGTGATTAGTGACCATTAGTCGATGATTGTTCAGAAATCGTGAGATGCGATCTGGTGTGATGTAGGTTTCAGAAAAACATTCTCTTTATCGTGCCAACGTTTCAATCTTTATTGAGATCATCTTCAGGGCCTGGGATTTGCAAACATTGTTTAAATTTAACAAAAAAATATAGGATGTGGAAAAAAGTGAATTTATACAATGCATAAAAATTTTTTTTTTTATATATTCAATCAAAGTACAAGGTAATGGCCAGATTGTCCTTTCAGGATTATATAGAAAAGGATAAATAGGAAAAGGAAAGCTAAATTGTTCAAAAATTAGAACATGTTTTTCTGAAACCTACATCACACCAGACCGCATCTCACGATTTCTGAATAACAATACGCAGAAATATTAGTTTTTGAAGAAGCAAAGCGCTCATTTATTCTTCACCTTCCAATCAAAGATGATAACCAATTACAAGCTTTTGACTCAAAAAGCACACCCTCAACTACACATCACACTCGTAAGCATTTCAATGTTTCTGAGCAGCTAGATAAGTCTGTCGAATTCCCATTTTAAAAAAGATAAATAATGGGATGAAGAGTGGCAGTGGAACCTGGTTAGTTCTGGAAGAAGATGGAGGGGTTCCATGGCCCGAGTGATTAAGATGTCCAACTCGAGTCATTAGTCAGTCAGAGTAGCAGTTCTGGGTTCGAATTCCGGCAAAACCCATGGCTTTTTAATTGATAACGGAAGAAAAATATATTGTAAAGAGGTCTGGTTCCTTGTCCACAACACCCAATGGATATTTGGATGTTTAGACTTCCTGTATGACATTAAGTACGTTTTACATAGAAGATAGTGGAACAAAATGGTTCATATATTGTTGATCCCTTATCAAAAAACACTATGCACTTATTTCACAACCCAATATTTATTACATAACTAATTTCAATCTCTGCTTTCTCTAGGCGAAGCCTTTTATAAGGTCTATTATCAATTTCTGCAGCCCTTTAAATTCAAAAACAGAAGATACAGATGTATTTGTAATACTTGCAAATACGATTAAATACGGGAAATATCTCGACGTTGTAAAACAACACAGGGAGAAAAACCCAAAATCCCCTAGGTAATTTTTTAATTTTAAATTGCAAAACCAATATTTAAACGTTATACATTCGTTTAGGTTCGTCTTCTGCAGTTTATGTGGTCTGAAATACTCGGGGCCGATCGATGATGAGGAAAATGCCATCATTACAAGCGGTTTTAACGACAGGCTTTTCCAACTCATCAACGGATTCGGGAAAGAACCTCCTGCCAACACAGATGGCTAATCACTGCCTTTGCAAACGTTAACAGTACTTTAATTTAATTATGATTGTGTATAAAATTAATCAATTTTTACAGCACTTTAAATAACTTGATTTTTTTAATGCTTTATTTTATAATATTAATTAAATTAACTAATGTTATTTAAAATGATTTATTGTAGAAGTGGTGTTATTTATATTAATCAAAGCTTTGTTAAGATTAGTATGTAATGTTATTTTTACTTTTTTTAAACTTTCTTTACTGTAATTGTTTCTTGTTATACTTAATAGGGATCATTGGATATAGAAAGAAAAGTAAAATAAAAACAAAGCATACTAGATTTTAAAAAAGGAGAACACAGACTTCTTTGTGAATCAAAACAAAGAACTTAATTTTTCTAAGGCTGTTATTTCTGTTAATTCATAATTAGGTTGAAGTGATCGGACAGGAGATTTATATGAAGTGTTAAACTGATAGTTCAATGATTAAATTTATTTAGAATTTAAAATTAAAAAAAAAGAAAAAAAGCCAGGTCTTTCGAACTGTGTATATGCCGTAACCAAAGCTTTTCCCTTGACATAATTAAAAATAATTATATGTATTTAAAAAGAAAACAAAATCAAAGTTGTGATTTTAGTTGTTTATTATACAGAGTAAATTTGTTTTTGATTTTCTTAATTATTTTTGTTGTTATGTATTTATAATTTTACTAATATATATGTATCCTTCATGGAAGACCCATTAAAGCAATTTAAAAAAATCTTTATTAATTTTGTAGTCATGAAATTATACAATTTTGTTTTAAATTTATGTTCCTTAAGGTTTTAATTTGTAATATTTTTATTTTATCCCCCCCCCCAGTTTTGTATGTAATTATAGTTTATATGAAGGAAAATATTGACAGTTTTTCTTTTTTCTTTTGTTTTGTTGTAAAAGCAAAATGTGATGGAGATAAAATATTACAATAAATAAGTGTATATAGGTATTTTATTTTTTACAAAAGGACTATTGATTGATTTTATAAGAAAAAAAACAAACAACAAAACAAACTTAGGATCAAGAATGTGTCTTACGTTCCAGCTCTTCCTCAGACTCTTAAAAAAGTTCTTTTTCATTTTTGTAAAAAAAAAAAAAAAAGTATTTTTAAACAGATAAATTTTTTTTTAGATTATTTAGAAAGAAAGGAAAAATGGAACAATTAAAATTTGTATTGTGAATAAAATAAGCACAGTTATATTCTGTTGTTTTTATTTTCAATCCTTTAATTTTCTTTAAATTTAAATATTGTGAATACACTTAAAATCATGAAAAGTTACAATTTTCAAAATGTTTTGTTATCTTCTTTGAAAGAAGTTTTTATTTTGAAACGAGTTTATTCAACCCTTTTTTCCTTTACCTGTTATTTTCCAGTTGAATGGGAGAAACGTCTAATCCCTTTCTCAAAGGGGGATTTGTGACCTTTAATCCTACCCGATATAACTCATAAAACTCATTGAAATCTGGCCCATTTCAGTTTTGAACAATGAATTAGAAAGGTAGTTTTTGGCTGGCTTTCCAACCCCGGAATGCCCCACCCCCTGCAAAGGGCCTTTACAAAAAGGGCCTGCCACTGCCCCAAAAGTTCAATTTAGTGCCTTGTACTGCTGTGCTCACTGATTGGATTTATACAGTTTTTACAACTTTCCCTTCAAGAATCAAAAATGGCTCTGTAAGTAGATCAATTTAAGCAAAAATATAGAGAAAAATTCAACTCTTGAATATGGATATTTAAAAATGTTAAACCTCTCACTTAAAAAATTAACAATTTACATAAACTCTATAATTTAATGAATTTAATAATTTTAATAAAATTTATATATAAACAATAAACAAAGTTTAAGAATAGATTTGCCCATAGTAGCTTAGATAATAGAAATCCAGCTTAATTTTTCCTATATTTTTGAAAAAATAGTTAATACAAAGAAAAAAAACCTTGTGTTTAAAATGAGAATTTTATTTTAATTATTTATACTTTTAATTGGTCTTGGTTGAGATGGAAAAGCAAGTGTCACAAATGATCATTGCCTTAGAATAAAAGTATGATTAACAAAATAATTTCTACGGTCAATTATGACTACTAAATACATATATGGATTAATCTATATGTTTAGCTATCATAATTGACCATATTAATTATTTCAATTAATTATTCTTTTTATCTAAGGTCTTGGTTGTGATGAAAAAGTGGGAATTGAACCCTGCTCGTGACACTGACTTTTTCATCTCAACCAAGACTTTAAATAAAAAGAATAATTGATGTATGGATTAATATAATTTATACTCTTGAGAGGTATGAAGCTTTCTTGTATAAATTCTTGAATAATTTGTATAAATGATAAACATATCACGTATAGAAAGTTTAAGGCCATATAATTAATTTATACTAAACTATAATTTAATGGGATAAACAATTTTAGTTAAAAATATTAAGGTTAAGTTGGTTAAGGTGTCAGACTCTTGGCAGTCATTGGTTCGATGTCCACTGTTGGCTCTGAATTTTCTGACTCGTAAGGGTGTCCGCAACGATCAAAAGTCAACACGATAATCAATAGTGGAACCCTGTTGGGAATCTCGGGAGCCTGAATGCTGCCTGATCCAATTTAAAATGGAAGAACCCTGAACCCCAAAAATAGAACTAGGATCTGGGTATAAGCATGGTCATGCTGCCCAGATGGTTAAGTTAATCCTAGCAATCTATGAAAAAAATGACGCATTTTTTAATTTTTTTTTAAAAATATTTGTAAAAATAGTTTATAAAAGGAAAAAAACTGGTTTTAAAATCAGAAATCTGCTACTTATAGGAAATTGAAGAAAGTCACATTATTTATTACATTTAATTAAGGTTTTCAGTTGAGATAAAAAAGTCAATGGCTCGAGCGGGATTCGAACCCACGATCTTCGGCTTGATACGCCGCTGCTCTACCACTTGAGCTATCGTGACCTCCATCCACTCGGGCACTAACTTCCCATTTCAACCCCACCTTTTGAATTTTCCCTCCTTGAAAAATGGCAAAAAGTTGGGGGGAGATAAGAAGTTAGTGCCCGAGTGGATCGAGGTCACGATAGCTCAAGTGGTAGAGCAGCGGCTTATCAAGCCGAAGATCGTGGGTTCGAATCCCGCTCGTGCCATTGACTTTTTTATCTCAACTGAAAACCTTAATAATTGTAAGATATTAATTGGTCAAGTGGACCACGAAACTAGTGGACACATTATTTATATTAAACTATAATTTAATGGGATCTAAAATTTTAGTAAAAATATATATTTACACTAACGGGTTTGCAGTAGCCAAGTGGTTAAAGCATCCTGTTGGCTAGGAGATATGGTTTCATGCCAGCCAACACCTCTGGCTTTTCTGACCCTTGAAGGTGATTAATGATGAAAAGTTCAAGACCCTGATTTTGTGATCCTCAAGAATATTTTAAAATTTCTTTTTCTTTCTTTTTTGGTTTCTTCAATCTAAACACCCAAAATGAAACGAGGCAGTGGGTCAGGATGCAGAGCCCATTGGGTTCCACCTGACACTCCTAGGAATAAAAAAAAAGCTCTTTTTGGCTGGAGCTTCTGACATCTAGGTCATTTCAGCCCCCAACTAAATCTATATTCTATTTACCCTTTCAAACACTACATTCGTACAAATAAATACATTCATAACATAAGTACATCCATACAGTACACTCATTCGTTTGGTCGGTGACCACACCTACACTCAAACTAATCTAGATTGGGGTTGATGTAGTATAATATTCTGCCATCAACCCCGAACACACACTCATACACTCTCAACGTTCGAGGGACGATGATGACGTTATATTTCACCCTCACCCCTCGCCATTCACGCTAATAAATACATGCATTCAGACAAAACATATAGACACACAACACATAAGACATATTATATAAAATAAAAGACCCCTAAAAAGCAAAACAGGGGACCAAGAAACCCGCTGCAGTGTTCGAGTACCATTGGATGGCATATGTAGGCGTGCATAAAAAAAGCTTATTGAAAATCAAATTTGCACAGGAGGAGATATGCTGACAGATGGTCGAATAATAGACATGTAAATCCTGCACATGATGAAGTGGAAACAGCGAACAAGGAAGGCCGATGGAATTTAAGGTTTGTCCTTTTTTAAAAGAGAAATTCAGGTTTTTTTAAAGAAGTACTTATTTTAAAATTTAAAATTACAGAGAGTTGGAATACCAACTTGAAGGCATTTCATTAGGAAGGAGATTAAAAAGGTTTCTCACGTACAACAGCCAAACATCAATTTACAATGCAGGCGTAAAATGCGATACTGTATTTCACTGCAAGAATTCCCTCATGCTCTTCAGGGAACTTCTGAGGCTCATGGATATAGCACAAGTGCTGGAGATTATCGAATGGGTCCATTCAAAAAAGATAAACAGCCATGTTGAAATAATACCGTTTGTACTGTCGGAATGCTGCCGGTTAGACAATCATAAACCAATAGTTTTGAAGTTCACTTTGAAACTGCTCAGGAAAAGTGAGGAGTTTCTGTTATTTCACAAATACTGCTTTGAAATCGATCCAAAAATCAGAGTCGACCTTCTGGTAAAAAATATGATCAGGGAGTGGTATGCTTTGCATGATAGCCTTGACATCGCTGACATGGTTACAGAAAATTCCACTGTTGGGATTTGGGGGCATAATATCATGTTGAAACTCGGTCATGTCGAGTCTAGGAAATCGGGTAAATATTGCATTTTAAAAATAAAATCCCAACTTGGATATTTTTTAATTAATATTTTTACAGACAGGGCTGCTTTGTATATCTACGCAACTCAAGGTTTAGAAAAAATGAATGAAAAGTTTAGAAATGACCCAGAAGCTGCAGTAATAATCAAACACTTCAACCGAGTGAATAATTTTAAAATGATGTTACATCCATTCAAAGCAGCACAGTACGTTTTTATTGTCATATTAAAAAAAAAAATATTTATGTAAATCATCATGTTTAACATTTTTTTTTTTTTAGAGAAATAAGTTATTATCGTCACTCAGTTAGGGTAACGAATGACTATCTTCTGAATGAGAAAATGGTCTGGAAAGCGCTTCTTCAGCAAATGGATCTACACGAACTGCATTTCTGGCTTCCTCATTTAACCAACTTGAGCACTGAGTACGAAGACGATGCTATGATGTGGGACCAGGATTTCATCCTGCACATTTGTGACCGCATTGAAAGCCTAGGGGCTGTTATCCAATCGAGAATCAGCCCTTGCAGGAGCTGCATAGAACTACAGAAATATCTGAACATCGATAGGTAAAGGAAGAATTTTGTCGATTAAAAAGAATAAAGAAATTAACAATTTTTTTTTTCTAGAGAAAAATTTCATCCTTTGTATAGTGGACAACCAATAAGAATACGATATCCTATCAATGAAGACATAGTTACAGCGCTACAGGGACAACTGACTAAAGCTATAAAAGTAAATATGGTTATAAAAAAATTTAATGTCTTTTTTACATTAGCAAGAGTCCATAATGTCCAAGAGTTGAATAATGAACAATATTTTGTGTGAATGTCGGGGTCAGAAATTCCAGGGGTGTGGTGGGAATCGAACCCACAACATGGAGGTCTATGAGCAGAGACTTTGCACAAACCATTAAAGTGTAGTAATCCGTGGTGGTCGCCTTATTATTCTTTACTAATACTAAAGTAAAAGGCAACTATTTAAAAATTGTAGCCCTGTTTTGTCTGAAATATTGCTTTGTTAGCAGGTTTTTAAAATTTGTTTAGGTGGTAGGTAGAGAAAAGAAAATCTAAGTGTTTCATAAATATTTCTTTATTTTGTATTTTTTTGGACTCATCTGCTCATCCTCAGCAGCCTGTCTGTTGTACGGAGACTCGGATGGGCCGGTAACCAATAACTCTTATCCGAAGGTCGTGGATTCGAATTCCACTCCTGATATTAATTTTTCAACTAAACCATACTTTGCATAGTAATTAAAGTATAAATATTGTATTTTTACATTTAACACATATTTTGTTAAAAAAGTTTATACAGTTGAATTTTAAAAAAATTGATTACATTTATAGAACAACATCAAACCGGTGAAGTTAAACATGACATTAGTCATTATCTGTGATCAACTGCCCCACACGTTGTGCCAACGGGCTCTCTACGTGCCAGCCGACATAGCAGCTGCTGTTATTACGTTGAGTTTGAAAAACTCGTTCAAATCAACAAAAATCTTGGCTTTTGACGAAAACGATTTTCAAGATTTGAGCGAGGAAAAGACCTACTCCAGCCTCATGTTGTCCATAGAGGCCAAAAAATGTGTAAGTCTTGAATACAGATCCTTTTTGATAAAATTATTAACTTTTTTATTTATTTATTATTTTTTTAGAGTGAAACAAAACCAATGGATGTTTCTAAGATACTGAACTTCGAAAACAAAGATGTGTCCGAGACAGACCTATTCGTCATAATAGGGAAAGCGATCAATTACGGGGATTATATGGGCATGGTTCAGAGTCATGAGGATAATCCGAGGGAGCCGAAATTCGTGTTTTGTAGCCTCGGTGAGAGAACGTCAGAAGGGCCTGATCACAGTAACATACTGGCGATAACAGGCTTTGATGACAAGGTGTGCTCAGTTATACACGCTTTTGTAATGGAGCCATTTGTATTTACCTTGTAAATTTTTTTTAAACTATTTACTTTAATAAAATGTATGTATTAACTAACAAATGTATATACATATTTCAATAAACCTGTCAATATTTTGTAAAATATATTTTCTTTCCTTAATTCACATAATTTTTATGGCAAAAATTTTTTCAACCAAAAATAGTTAAATTAGTGATTAATGAAAGTAATCTTTGCAAAAGATACATTACATAATATGGTATAAAAACACTGCATAATATTGAAAAATAATTTTTTAACCCTGCACAGCGACGTTAAAAATGAAATCGAAACATTATTTTCCTTTACAAAATTACTTTTTCCCTTCGACCATAATAATGTGGTAGCCAAATTTTGTTTTAATGGGAGGATCTGTGTATTTTGGGTTTGCGACAGTCGAGATTGGAAGGTCGAAAGCTGCATCTTGGAACGGGCCGACCATCGAGCCCCTCGTCATCCAGCCTAAGTCACCCTGCGAAAAGTTAAAAATTCTAGATGCAAGGCGAAAGACAAAATGATTCATTACTTACACCCGATCTGGCCTTGTCCTCACTGTATTGTGCAGCGACGTCTGGGAATTTCATGCCTCCTTTTAGCTTTTCAAGGGCTTCGAGGCATTTGGATTGTTTCTCACAAAGAATATGTCTTACCTGAAGAGAGATGTAGTTATTTATAATAGATAAATTTAAAAAAATCCTGACATTATGCCAGAGAGCGCCTTGGCAAGAATAAAAAAAATTCACTGTGCATAGTAGTGACTTGTTAATTTTTTAGATTTAAATCATTGGATGGCTTAACGCACAGTTACATTCTATATGTCCAACTCCAAAATGGTGGAATAATTCTTCGTTGGTTTCATTACAGAAAACCGTTTTCAGTCCGATAATTCTTTGTAATGGCTGAAGTCTTCTGTTGAGTTCTGATCTCTTTAAGTCTTGTCTGGGGATTCCATGCTAAGTCTAGGTATAGGTAGAGTACCTGACTCGAGTCGATGTCGAAAGTTGGATGTACAGTTGATATCTGTAGTTCATTGTTGGATGTACACTGTGGAGGGAAAGTTTTTTTAAATTCACTTCACTTGCTAACCCCGCTTCGTAACGGCTTTTTCCCAGATGAAAATGTCTGTTTCTTGGAGCGCCTGTTTCATTTTATGTGGACCAGTTCAGTGTAACGCTGTCTTTTAAGTTTGAATTCTTATAAATTTAATGATAACCCAAATATTTTATGTCAGTATGGGAGAAGAACTGTCACTATGCCTGTTCAGGCAATGGTTGCAACTTTTTTACCCAAATATCTGCAGAAACGTATCACGCATTTGTATAAAAATGCCGTACCCTCAGGATGGAAGAGATCTTATTGTCAAAAAAACATCTATAACTTTGTGAATTGTAGTCCATTTTTAGCAATTTTTTTTATATTCTATTGGTCTTAAATAGCTGTTTAATACTATGTAAAAAAAGTGCAGTCATTGCAAAAAACTTTTCTAAATTTTAATCCGAACAAAATACATAAAGAAACTAACTTAAATTCTGGATTAAAATAAGCACTGATAGCAATTGTTTATAAATTTCTAATTTTGCTTATTTTGTAGAAAAATGTTCCTCTTTCCAACAATGTATAATACGACATGGTTTCTTAAAGTTTAAACTGAGAAATAGTGAGAGATTTGAAAAAGTCTATTAAAATCCTCATTCAGTTTTATTTTGAACTTTGTACACTATTCTTTGATGTTAGAGGTGTCAAAAATATAACTTAGTTGATTTTTTTTACAAAGAAATAATTTTATGGCAGTAAAGCAAACTTCCACAGAAAAAAATATAGACAAAATACAATATAGAGCTATAAGAATCAGCTTGGGGGCAATGAATTCCACCCATACTAATGCACTACTGATAGAAAGTAAATTGGAACCTCTTAATTTTAGGGGAGGATTAGTGGCCAAGTACCTCTCTTTTTGATTTAACAACCACAGACCTATAGCTACCATGTAACTAAACCTACTGGAATCCAAGTATATCCCGGATGATATAGCTTACACAGACATCAGCCTCTACTGCTTCACTTGTTTATTCGGCAAAGAGTACTTCTTGCAGTTATCCACTCCAAATACAGTGGGTTAAGCTGGGCGAGCAATTAGCAAAATTAAATGTCATAAGCAATCAAGAGGAACTGAACAGGCAACCAGATTTCATTAGGGGAGGCTTTGTAACTAGATGTAGCCCAGTAGTGTCAGTCTTGTAGATAGATGGGTGTAGCAGGTGCTGTCATCTTAGATGTTGATAACAACTATCAGATCATGATGAAATTAAAACTCATAACTTTTTCAGTGGAAGCCATCACTATAAGAGAAACTTTAAATTACTCAGTGCACAAAATGTCAAAAATTCCATCATCTTTTTGGATAGTCTAAGTGTGTTGCTAGCCTTGAAAATTACTAGTGAACATCAAGAGCCAACATTATTGGCAATCAAGAAATGAACAATTGATCTGTCTTTCAGAAATAGGAATGTCTATTTCTTGTAGATAAAAGGTCATGGTAACAATCCTAACAACAAAGTAGATCTACTTGCCAAAGAAAGTTCAAAATCTGGAATCCCATTCAAGGAAATCTTGAGCATGGATATCAACGCTCATAACACAAAAGTGATTTGGATAAAGTAGCAAAAAGAGTACAATGAGTCTGAATACCTCAAGGGACATTAATGGGCGAACATTCAATCAAACCTGGTTCAGCAAAGTGAACAGACCCAGTAGATTTTTCACACATTATATCAATTACATTTAAATAACAACATGCCTATATAACTAAGAATAATGATCAACGAAATTTGTCCACGTGATACGTTCTCAGCGGCTGATGCTAATCACGCCATCCTAGCATGCCCATGAAATTCAGTAGAAAGAGATAACCTCTTCAAAAAATTAATAAACTGCTCAAAAATTAATAGGGATATTTGTAATTTATTATTATTCTATTAATTCTAATTAAATTAACTAATATATTCTTGTTATTTTTGATAAAATAAAATAGAAAATACAAACCAAAAACAAAAAAATGTTAATCCTCAGTTTTAATAACTGATTTACTTAAGAATAGTAAACAAGACGATTACTCATTTTGTAAATAAACATATTTTCTAGTCTTTTCTCCATTTTAAACTAGTTGCATTCTCTTTAACCATGGAAAGACATTATCTTGAACCAGAAGTTTGCAATATGATGGTGAGAATGAGTCATCAAGGTCACTGGCAAGTGGATATTGCAGAGGCTATTGGTGCTTCTTAGAGTGTGATCTCCCGGGCTTTAACCCGATTTTTTTTTTTTTCGAGGGTTCGCAACAGCAGAGGTCATATAAACCCTCAGGGTGCCAGTGTTTTTGAAAAAAAAGCCCATTTGTAAGTATGTCGGGTTTGAATGCAGGGCTGCTGGATTCGAACCCGGGATCTTTACCTTACAGTGATGAGCGCCGTTTCAAAGACTAAACCTTGCGGCCACCGACGCCCCCTAAACCCGATTCTGATAGTATAATGCCTACAGTAAGGCCCGGTAGTGGATCTCAGCACATCATGATGCTAATGGAGGACAAATATATTGACATTGCTGCAAGGTGGGACCCTCTCCATAGTGCCCGCCAGATCCTAAATTAAGCTCAAGATGTTTTGGCAATGCCTTTATCGTAGGTCGCTTTGAGACGACCTGCAGCAACAGCCTGTCACCAGCAACTCAGGAGAATATGGTGCGAGCGCCTAGAAGAGAACACCAATTGGAATGCTGTTATGTATACTGATAGACAGCGTTTCTGTCTTTAATGATAGAGGGTCTACCGAAGCGTCTACCGAGAACTGGGGAAGCGTACAATGCCTCAGTTAATGCTCCGTTCAGTGCCGTTTGGAAGAGATGGTGTAATGGTTTGGGCTGGGAGTTTTTACACTGGAGGACGAACTGGACTCCATATTGTTGAAGGCAACCTCTCCAGACCTCAATCCCACTGAATGCACTGCATGTTTTGCAGATCCGATCACCATCTGCAGCCAGTTGACCTGTACCAACTGAGTGCAGCGTTGCAACATCTATGGAGTGAAATTCCTTATGAAATTAATGACAACCTTAATAAAAGTATGCCTAACCACAGAGGTTTTAGCTAACAGAGGACACTATACAATGTAGTAATTGGTTAAAAAAATATTATTCCCAATAAACAAAATTATGGAATAAAACCATTTTATTTTTCAAAATCCCTAAATTAAATTTTCCTTCAGTAAAAAACATCATTTCTAATGCATTTTAATGAATTTATAATAAAAATAAAATAAAAATGCTAAGGAAAGTAAATACTATATAATTGGCAATATCTCTATTGAATTTTGAGCAGTTTAGAAAAAAAACTAATTACCATTTGGGGTGAAAAAAAGGAAACATTATTCAAATTGAAACAAACGGGTACGAGCTGGCTTACTTTGACTGCAGTTCCTCCTTTTTTCTCCTTTGATTTTCCACCTTCGTCGTCTTTCGACTCTTTGCCCTTTTTCTGCTGTGCTCCACCTTTTTTTGGAGGCATTTCGACTAATTTCAAATTTCAAGAAACTAGAGCCTGTTTTCTGTTTTGGCCAACGAGCATGTTTGATAATATAACCTCCTTATGGTTATCGCGCCGATACATGAGACCTCAGTGATAACGCGATTACAACACAAACTTTTTAAAATAACACAAATTACTAATATTAATTATTATCAAACGTAAATTTAACAAATAATGATAAATTTGCCTGTATCATAAAACAAACAGAGATTGAACAGGCCCAAGAATTTATGAATCGCATGATAGAAGTTATGCTTGGCCTAAATGAACTGAAACTTGGCAAATCAGCTTTTAAAAACTTATTTAACCTTAAGTTTGTCCTGGGTTCAAAGTTCTTCTTAATCATGCCTTTTATTAGTTCTAAAAAGGCATTAATTAATAAATATCAAGGTGTTTCGACGTAGACTGGGCGAATTTCCATGCAGTATGAATGATAAATATGCAGTATGCATCTAGCTTTGTAAATAACAGTAGTGTATTACCACTACCTAACCCAAATCTGCGACTAGGCATTCCTAAACTAGCTTTAAATTGGAGGTCGATGGGTTCTTCAGTGCTGCCTGACTGTCTGAGAATATGTTTATCTATGCGCATTTTAAATTTATTGTGTACAGTTCTATTACATGGATCTCAGTTTGAAAAATTGATGGTGTGAGGCTTGGAGATTTCGCAAGGTTAACATTTGGGTCTTTGACTCCTGCCTTCACTCTACGTTTCAGTTTTAGATCCATCAGCACTTTTATATGTAATCCTCTGGATGTACGGAATGGTGCCACTCATAAAAGCAAGATCCACTGCCCCTGTAATTTTTGTATTTTCTTTAATTAATCCTGTGTCTTCTTTTCTAAAGTTTTCAGACGCCATAATAGGATACGTTTTTAATTTGTTAATTTTTCACGTCCAGTCTGTAGACATTTCTTTGCCCATCCATTTCATTTAGTTCCGCTTTTAGCATAAACCTTTTCCGGTTCTGGTCCAAATTGTGTGAGTGCTTCTGTTTTTCTTAGTTTATCAGCCTGTTCGTTGCCTTTAATCCGTGGTAATCACATCTATGTTGCCCGATTAGATTTTCCCAGGAGCTGGAGAGATGTTTGGAATTTCCGGACCAGCTTTGAATTGAAGGTAGAGGAGTTTAAATCCTTCAATTCTGCTTGGCTGAGAATATTTATATCTCTGCTTCTTTTCATCCTAGGCATTTCTTGTGAACAGATTGTATGGATCTCAGCTTGGAAAAATAATAAATTCTATCAAAGTCATTGCCATGGTATTTGATACACATCCTAGCAGTACCCTGTTTTTGTTTTTGGACGCATTGGGAAGTCGTCAAGTACGCATTTCACTCGAAAGTTTCTTCAATGTATATATTTTTTTTAAATAAAAACAAGTCCTTATCTCTGTCGGGTGTTAGATTTAATGTTCTTCCAAATTTTACTTTTGAAAATTGGTTTTTCAAATAGTAAGGCATGTAATCATGATCTATAATCCGCTAATTCTCGCTTTATGTTCTGAACCTAGTAATTTAAACATTTTACCACGGAAAAATCTACTGGGATAAAAACGGCTTAAATTTAATCTAATCAGGAATAAATTATAAAGCACATCTGATACTCAAAATATCTCTAAAAAAGAAAGCGTTTCAATATTTTTTTTTTTACAAAATTGGAATGCTATCATATTGAATCGGGAAGAAGTAATGTCACACCGATTTCATATTATTTGTGAACATCCCTTGATGGCAGTATGACATCGGATATGACTGAAATACAAATTGAAAATTGAGACTGAAAAAAGCAATTCCGAAAGGAAAAATTATTAACAGGAAAAAAATTTCAACGCAATGAAATATATTAAAAAACTAAATAAACAAAATTTAAATAGTACAGAGGAAGAGAGGGTTATATAAAACGAAAAAAAAAAAACCCAGTCAGAGGGTTTATACTGTAGGCAAATAAGGTCACGGGTTTATTGTAGTCTGCTCAGTTTTAGAATGAATAAATGAAAAAGAATTTTATTTACAGAAACGAAAATAACAAACAAAAACAGTTCTTATACACAATTCTTCCTGATTACAAAAGAGGTGGTGGCTTAGGGGAAATCCACTCGGATAGAAGATCTCTAAAAAATTTAAAAGCCAATTGTATTTTTTTAGTATACAATGAAAAATTGAACTGCTCCACGAGCATTCTGTGATAATGAAGTCCAAAACCACCCAGGTCTGAACAATCAGAAAAATCGAGTTTTGCTATTAAAGAAGGTCTCGAAACTCTCTTAGTTCCCTAAAATAGAAAATCCGAAACTAAAAAACTAGGACAGCAAAAAAAAAAAAATGCAAAAGGTCATTACAATTTTGATTACTATAAGCCGGCATTGTCTGAGGGATTAAACAATTTTCAATGGGAATTTGTTTATATATATTAGCTGTTGATAAAAAAGTATCTGAATTTAATTGATGGCAAATTTAATTTTAATTGTAATAAACGCTGGATTAATTTTTGGCACTGATCAGAAGACACTATTGATACCCTATCGGATCTTCAGTCATACAGACTAACAAAACAAACCTTATAAACAATATATTTCATCACGTTCGTACGATCTCTCTTTTCAAAAAGTCTGTCCACTCATATCTCTCACTCTCTTTCTCTCTCTCTCTCTCTCTTTATATATTTGTTTCTATTATACTTAATCTCAATCAAACAGACACTTCACTCTTCATCTTTCTATCTCTCTCTTTAACCAATGCTTGGAATTGAGTTTTCTTCTCTCTTTTCTCCCCCTCCAACTTACTCAATATACATATATAAGTTGCGCCTGCACAAAACTATTAATTCAGCGACAAATGATTTACCCCTGTACAAATTCAAAGAATGTATTGTAAGCATATATAAGCAAAAGACCCTTCCCTGTTGACTATTCCCATTACACTTGTGAAGACAGATTGAGATTAATCATATCCGTGAACAGGAAAGGTTCTTCTCAAATTGTAAGTTGTGTTTAACTAATAAAGTTCTTTTTAAAAAGACTCTCGTTTAGTCAACACACGTAACTGGCGCAGTCGGTAGGACATCGCAAAGGTTTTTCAAGGGAATATTGGAAACCAATCGTGTCAACGTGAATTTTCTACATCGGACCTGATGAGCATGATGAAATTTAGTTTGTGAATAGGAAATTATTGTATTTTATAACAAATTTATTGTTTTTAATTGTAAGCGTTTTGGGTATTGTTATAACCTAATTAAACTTAAAATTATAACTTGTTGAAATGGCCAATTTTGCCGAATTAAAATTCATTTTGGATGACATCCCTAACTTCGATGACAATCCGAAAACACTGACACAATTTATATTAAAAGTGGAAGAAGCACAAAACATTGTATCTTCTCAAACACCTCCTTTAACAAACATACAAAAATCTATGTCCTTCATAAACATTAAAAACAAATTAACAGACAGAGCGAACGAAGCCCTAAGGAACATACAATTTCCAAACTGGGATGAGTTGAAGCAGTTTCTAATCAAAGAGTTTGGTGATAGGAAAGATAATAAAAAATCCTTTCAGATCTTTAAATTTAATGTGTAGAGATTAGTGACCGTTAATCGATAGTTATTCAGATATCGTGAGATGCGGTCGGGTGTGATGTAGGTTTCAGAAAAACATTTTCTTTGTCGTGCCAACGTTTCGATCTTTTATTGAGATCATCTTCAGGGCCTGGGATTTACAAACAATGTTTACATTTAACAATTACATTTAGGATGTGGAAAAGTGAATTTATACAATGCAAAATATATTTTATATTCAAACAAAGTATTTCTACTCATTCAAAGTGTTTGTCTTCTGTGTAATATCACTCAAAGTGTTTAAATTTAATAAAAGAAAAGTTTGACTTGTTCAGAGCAAAAATACTTATGGAAAAGGGATCAGATGAACAAAAAGCATACTTGATAGAATTTCAAGAAAAAATTATAGCTACAAATAATTTTTTCTTGAAATTCTATCAAGTATGCTTTTTGTTCATCTGATCCCTTTTCCATAAGTATTTTTGCTCTGAACAAGTCAAACTTTTCTTTTATTAAATTTAAACACTTTGAGTGATATTACACAGAAGACAAACACTTTGAATGAGTAGAAATACTTTGTTTGAATATAAAATATATTTTGCATTGTATAAATTCACTTTTCCACATCCTAAATGTAATTGTTAAATGTAAACATTGTTTGTAAATCCCAGGCCCTGAAGATGATCTCAATAAAAGATCGAAACGTTGGCACGACAAAGAAAATGTTTTTCTGAAACCTACATCACACCCGACCGCATCTCACGATATCTGAATAACTATCGATTAACGGTCACTAATCTCTACACATTAAATTTAAAGATCTGAAAGGATTTTTTATTATCTTTCCTATCACCAAACTCTTTGATTAGAAACTGCTTCAACTCATCCCAGTTTGGAAATTGTATGTTCCTTAGGGCTTCGTTCGCTCTGTCTGTTAATTTGTTTTTAATGTTTATGAAGGACATAGATTTTTGTATGTTTGTTAAAGGAGGTGTTTGAGAAGATACAATGTTTTGTGCTTCTTCCACTTTTAATATAAATTGTGTCAGTGTTTTCGGATTGCCATCGAACTTAGGGATGGCATCCAAAATGAATTTTAATTCGGCAAAATTGGCCATTTCAACAAGTTATAATTTTAAGTTTAATTAGGTTATAACAATACCCAAAACGCTTACAATTAAAAACAATAAATTTGTTATAAAATACAATAATTTCCTATTCACAAACTAAATTTCATCATGCTCATCAGGTCCGATGTAGAAAATTCACGTTGACACGATTGGTTTCCAATATTCCCTTGAAAAACCTTTGCGATGTCCTACCGACTGCGCCAGTTACGTGTGTTGACTAAACGAGAGTCTTTTTAAAAAGAACTTTATTAGTTAAACACAACTTACAATTTGAGAAGAACCTTTCCTGTTCACGGATATGATTAATATCAATCTGTCTTCACAAGTGTAATGGGAATAGTCAACAGGGAAGGGTCTT